CCTAATACAAAATCGAGATTGTAATACGGCTCAAAAGGTAAATAAACTTATTTAGATATGTATATGACAAATATTTAATTCAACAAATGCAAATATCAAATCAAATTGTAATATAAAATACCAATTTAATTGATCATCATTCATAAGTAATCACTTACTGGAGTAACCTATATGTAACTTCCAACTTCAATAGAAACAAAAAAACATTTAATTTTAATTCGAAGTATAGTTGCTCATAGGACGGTTGCAACAGTTTTTTTGTTACATATTTCAGAATACACAAAAAATACGACTAAGTGAATCTATGATTCACGAACATACGCAATAGACAGCTGTCAAAATTAACCCTTTCGGTACGGAGGAGCTGGTCGCGGTTATACATACGAGGAAGTTTTCCACAAAAGTGGTTACACTGTACGGCAGCGTAAGCCCAGTACCTAGCGTAGTACCCAGAGAACGTTTCGTGGATGCCGCCAATAGGCGACGGTAGTACCCAGAGAACGTTTCATGGCCGCCGCCAATGGGCGGCAGTAATACCGAAAGGGTTAAATATGTATATGTCAAAGTTGCATGTGCATATGTAATTTTGACAGCTGTTTGACTATCTGTGCATGTTCGTAAATCATAAGTTTGCTTTGTCGTATTTTTTGTGTGTTTCGAAACATCTAAAAAAAAACTATTACAACTGTCTATTGTGTGTGTTTCGAAACATCTAAAAAAAAACTATTACAACTGTCTATTGTGTGTGTTTCGAAACATCTAAAAAAAAATATTACAACATCCTGTGACCGACCGAACATTCCGAATATTCATCATCCAGATTTACAATGTTTTGTCATCTTACGACTAAGGCTGCGTTCAAGGAACACACTATCAGCGTTACTGTGTTATTCTATCTTTGTTTATATATAATGAACGATAAAGATAGAGTGATGCGATAGCGCGCTCTCCGCAACCTAAGTTCCCAACTCTGCTTTAATAAAACTAAGATTACGTTCCAGGAGCACGCTATCAGCGCTAAAGCATTATTTTATCTTTGTTCCTCATTAAATGTACGACAAGAATAGAACGGCTCGTTAACGCTGATCAATACTGATAGCGCGCTCCCCGAATGCACTCTAAAAAGATTTCGAAAATCTGCCAATTCTTCGCCGTGTATGCACTCGCTTATACAATGACTGATGTGTAAGACACGTTTATTATTATCTTGAAATAATAATTTATCAAGTCTCTTCGTCGAACTTCGACCCTTCCTCTGCGATCCTTCCCGAAAGAGCGAAGACCACCGACGGTCCACGAGGCGGGGGCTTGGCTCATCGTTCGATATTCACGCACGTGTCCGTGACGGTCGGCGTGTTATAGCGGGGCAACGGCTGTCGGTGTTTGACAGTTGTCTCTGATCAATCGTGGAGTACGGTGCCTGCCGAGCTGTGTATCATGTTCAACATGTAAGTAATATCGAGACTTAACGCAGACGATGTTATCATCGGTCTTCTCATCTTGCGCCTGATTTTACGAACGTGAACGAGGATTCGACATGACATATCTCACCCGCGCTCCGGTTTATTATTAATAACGCGATCGTTACTCGATGCCGGCGAAGAGTTAAAGGACGCGCGAGTTGCGGGCAAATCTGCGAGGAATTCAAATTCGACGACGAGTGTCAGTGTGAATTAATCTCTAATGTTGTTTTTTATCGCTCGATAATATACGCGTGTGGCAATCGGTTGCAGGCGATGTTAGCGTTTATTAACACGATAACGCTAAGTACTTTTAATGTCACTCGACATTAAAGAGGTGTAATTACTCTGGATCTTTTTAATAAATTCATTAAAGCTTCAGAGTAGTCGCTGTGACTGTTTTTGTTCAATGATATCAGAAGCGAGAAAACGTATGCTGAAATTTTTTGCGTACTTTCAAATAAAAAGATTTATTCACAAAATGACATTTGTGATTTAGCAAACTTGTAAAATTGGACGAACACTTTTCTTTTACTCGAATAATCAATAAGTAGTCGTAAAATTAACATTGACAACAATCATGAGTAAAGAGGTTGGAAAAAAGTTTCGTATCAAATTAACTTTGCGACTATTTATTGATTTCTTGAGTAAAAGAAAAGCGTTCGTCCAATTTCACAAATGTACTGAACCGATCACAAATGTTATTTTGTAGATACATCTTTTTATTGGAAAGTATAACGCAAAAAATCTTGGCATGCGTTTTCTCGCTTTTGACGTCATTAACCCTTTGAGTACTGAATTATTTTAAGATTTTTATGCCCATGGGACGGATTTAATTTGTCGCTATATAGATTAATATGTAAAAGTAATACATTTTATGCCCAAGTAAGCAGATGACGAGTCTCACTCGTCAAATGTACCGAAAGGGTTAAACAAGGACAGTCATACAGCGACTATTCCGGAACCTCAACAAAGAACTGCATTATTCGGAAACTACAACGAGTGTCTCTTAGAAAATTTCTCGCAAATTTCTTTTTTTTTTCATTCCCGGAATTACGCCCTTTTAACGACAAAATTTGAATATTGGTACAACGAAATGCCGTTTCGTTTATTAGCATTATTATCGAGAAGTGATACGTTCTTTCATTTTGATGGCAAAAATGAAAGAGCGCCGAAATAGCTATTCGTTATTTTATAATGTTATTCCCAGACTTTTGGACGGAATTACATCAGGCGAATAATAATCTCACCAAATCAACAATTGCTAATTGTGCTAATTCGTGCAATTTAACAAAAATCGTAACGTTCGGCAAATTTACAATGATATTTTCACGGCTCTGCACTCCATGTCTACATATATATGCATATCGATACTCTCGGACGAGCATTTAAGCTTTTCTTTATCTTGTAATCTAATCCTTACGTTACCTGCACACAATATGTTACTGTTATTATTATATTATCTTACACATATGTACTTATTACTACATGTTTTGTTGCTGTTATCTATTCGGTACAATTGATTTGTTGTATTTCTGACACGATTTTCAAGAGACACATTTGAAACCGCGTTATCCTTTTATAAATTACTTATCGTAATATAATTGAAAAAATAATGCAAAAAATATGTTAGAATTTCCACTGAATTTGATAACAAATTGTTACCTAACTCTTTAAGTATATAAGACTATTATACTGTCTCATTCCAATAGGCATAGTGATGTTGGAAAATTCCAATTAAGCACATCATTTCTGAATATTCTAAATAGTGCATGACTGTTGATTATTTTGCGAACAGATAACTATGTTCCAAAGCAGCAGTCATGATGCATAAATATTTAGAAGTGATGCGTCGAATTGGAAATTTTCGATGTTACTATGCATAGAGAATGGGATAGCATCAATGGGGTCTTCTGTACTTCACATTGAGAAAAAAAAGTATTTAAAAATTTATTTAATATATAAAGTTTATTTCACAGAAATAAGGTGAATTTTGTGAAATAAACCTTATATTCTACAAATAAATTTTTAAATACTTTTTTCTCAGTGTAGAATTAAACAATCGCTGAAGATAAAATACTTTGAGCTGCCGTAAATCAATCGGTGAAAGATTGAAGAACTATAGAACTTGTTGAAAAATTGAAAGTAATGGACAACGAAACAAACGAAATTTTATTTATTATTCTTATTAAAATAATAAAATAAAATCAATGAACAAAATAAGTAAATGAAATAAATAAATAATAAAGTGAATCAGGTATACAGGTACATATACATAAATATAAGTAACTATCATAACAGTTGATAATTGTTGCTTGTGTCGAGATTATAAGTCATAGAATTTCGACAAATATATATATATATATATGTCAGGAAAATATCATCGATGTGGACTATAGACGCATATATATATATATATATATGTGGACTATAGACGCGTCTATAGTCCACATCGATGATATTTTCCTGACATATATATGTGTCCATAGTTATCAAAAGGTTAAATCAATCATGTCAACCGAAATTTCTGTTCTTTCTATATTTCTGATAACGGTATCATGAAAAGGCAGCTAATAAATTTTATCACGGAATAACTTATGAAAAATAATTTTTGGCACTACTGTAGGCATTATGAATGCTAATCGATATAAAGAACATTATCCTTGTGTTATCTCCGAGGCTGTATGTTCTTCAATAATGTAAAGCATTTCGATCGTACGATATGCTCCTTCATACATATGTGTAGCACCGTCGCACGTAGTATAAGTAGTACGTAGTATACACGTAGTATACACTTTATAGTTCGTTTTATATATTAACAGGCGTACACTGTGAACCGATTCACAAAGTCTCGTACGGAGAGTCGTTAAGAGATCGCGTTAACAAAGCGATATTAATAATTAATTATATAAATATATACTTTCTAAATTTTATTCGATTGAAGTTCCACTCAAAATGCAGAGTGACAGCAAGGTCGCTCGAATTCGAATTTCGTTCACGGAAAGTTAATTTTTCCACTGCGAAACGTGAAATAAACATTTTTAGTAAATATTTTATTCAAAACGGAAGAATGAATCTGCCTCAGATGAAACATTGATTGCGACGTTCACTATTGTGGGTTTTACCCTAAGTTTAAGTGAAATGTCTATTTTTGTGATTCCGAGTAGCAGTATTTTGACTATCACTTCGAGTGAATTTTCCAAATGTTCGTTTGGACGGAGATTTCGCACCAGGAGATTGAGAGAGCTCATATGTATGACGCACATCAAATGATTAAAAATACTTTTATCGCGGCGAATTTCTCTCGCAACACATTTCTTATCCAATAGAATTTGTCTTTTAGTAATTCTTAAAAGATTTTCATCTTCCATTACATTTTCCTACGGGATTTTTATTTTTTTACGAAATGAAATTCATCAAGATAAAAGTGTTGCGACCTGTAATTCATTATTATCGTAATCGTCAATTCTTCTTCTCAGTCCTATTGCTTGTGTCCGTGATGAGACTTTTCTCATATGTCTGTGGTGCGTACGTTAGTTTTACACAGGCATATGAGACCTATTTAGACAGTTTAACGCTGATTCCGAACGGCATATTATTTAGAAAATTTCTCTTGGCAAAGATACTCTCGGTAGGTTGCCGCTTCTCTTCTGGGAAGAGACACGAGCGTAAATATTTTGCTTATCTAGCTTAGTAAATACTATGCTTAGCGGTCCCGGGTTCGATCCCTTCTACCGGGATCGAACCCAAAACCGCTAAGCATAGTAAGACCAGTGCGCTGTTTGTTATGCTACGCTCGCGCTCAATCATCAATTATTCGTTATATAATATATCAACATTAATTAATCATTAATTATTTTTTATTGACCTAAATTTATTTCGTAAATACTGTTTTTTTATTAAGCAACATAGTTTATTCTAATGAAACAACATTTTCACTTGAACAAATAATATTTAATATTTGATATTATATGATAAATAATATTTGATATTAAATTATATCGTTTATGTTAAAATTATACAAATAATATTAAAATTGTTTATATTATACAAGTCCAAGTCAAACAAACATGTATACTAAATCTAAAGAAATCTACTAAATCTCTAAAGAATCTAAAGAAACCTTTTTCTCTGCATATGCGCGATCGGATGGTTACCGTAGCAAAAGGTCCATGGCACACGCAAGGACGTAAGCGGAGAGACGTAAGCAGTAAGAACATTTCCTTAAGTCCAAAAATAACCGACTATGCTTAATTTTGTTTACTGTTTACTATTTACGACACGGTGTGTACCACGGCTTTAACAGAAAAGAAACGCGCGTCGGACTCTCCGGTTGAGAAACAATTAGGATGTCTTGACAGTTCGAGTCAAGCTGGAACTTGCTTACTGAATGAAATCGTTTAACCGTTAACGAACAAATTGACTCGTTTGTCAGCTGGAAGAGTACAGGACTCGAGTAATAGTCAAGAAGAATTCTGACACCGGCATAGTGCACAATCGCGATCGAGCGGTGTCGGTGATAACTTTACATTCCATGTGTCTCTTGTGTGTTCGAGTGAATTACTTTTTCCTTCATTATGCTGATTTTATAAGATTTATATCATTTCAATCACTCTCTTTTTATAAATTACGGAAAAACATGCTGTTCACAAAACCGCCGGTGATTATTTCTTTTATGTGTAATACGCAAAGCTTTCCGTAAATATACGATGTTATCGTGAAAATATGAAAATGAACATAAAAGACTTCGAATCAGACAATCGGACAGAAGGTCAATTACATCGCAATCCGAAAGACCCGACTCAGCGTTATTAAAAATGTAATAACGCGTGAGTGAGCAAAGTGGTGTTATCGCAGAAAACATAGCTCGTTATCAAGCAGTAGTCATTTTGTCACGTATCCTCGCGGAACAATAACAATGGATAATAAAGCTATGTTATCATGAGAGAAAGAGAGAGAGAGAGAGAGTGTGTTTTCGCATGCATCACTCTAATAATTGATCTTTTTAACACTAAAAATATTGAGCGGTCATTTCTGACCGTTTCTATTTTTTAGATTAATATCTTCTCAGTAAACACTAAGTATCAGTTACATTACGTTTATAATTATTATAATTATAATATTATAATATATATTAATTTTAATTTCGCACTCAACAATGTAAATGCAATATAACACTGATGTTAAATTATAACATAAATGTAATATAATTGATGCTCAGTGTCGACTGGGAGCATAGCAGCAGCTAAAATAGATGATTCAAGATCCAAAGTCCCCGAGTTTGAATCCTACTGCAGTAATAAATACATTTTATAAATACGATATTAATTGAATCTCAACTAAATGGCATAAAATTAAGAAGATTTCAGGTCATAATCATGATGATATCTTAAAAGCGCAATTAAAAAGAAAGATAAGTAAATTGAGTATTTGTTACATTTAACATTATAAATGTGTCAATTTAAATATCAAATGTTACTATTACAAGTGAACTTTAAGTCAAAATAACTAATATTATGTGTTGGAAGAAAATGTGTTGGTGTCAATTCGTATTCAATTTGTGAACAAGTAACTCACGATACGAATGAGTTATTTCGACACAAAATTTAGAGTGGATTTTCTAGGACATGTAAAAAATGTTAAAATTAACATTTATTTTTTACTGTGTAAAATAACCGTGAAGTCACGCAGGTTGCGTTTAACTTTCACCACGCATTCTCTCTTCTCAACGATACCGATCCACGATACCAACGATTACTCGCGAAATAACCGGTAATATACAAGTGACTATGTTTATAAGATTTTATGACAACAGATAGCAACGGTTCAAAGTCCAGCGTATCTTTCTGAATCATCGTGTTCGTAAAATAGCCGTGTGTCAAACGATTACAACTAATCAACGATTACATCTAACATCCTCCGATGTTACTGACAGGAACGATCGGAGGCCCGGCATAGGTATCGAACTTTGCACCTGTCTGAGATAGTCATATGTTGTCATCGCTCGTGATTAAACTTACTTTTCTCATGTTAACGATGTGATAAATGAAATCGATTGAATAATTGAATAAATCGCCTTCCCAGCTAAGAGTTCAAGTCGTAATTTTGCGATTATGTATAAATCATTTAGTGATATTATATAATAATAATTATCTCGATAACGGATCGATGCATGGATAAAGTACCCAGTAAACAAGAAATCATTAATACAACGTTATTACAATGACATTTTATAATATGTAACGTTTTTAAATATATACTTCTTCATGTTATATATGCAACGTCATTGTTAACAATATTTTACCCAAACATTAAAAATGATATTTTTACATTATAATTTTAATATTTAGGAGTATTATATGATCAAAAATAATAAGTTTTAAAACACTCATAAAATTTTATGTCTAAATGTTTATAAAATTCATATAAAATCAATGTTTCAAAAGATTATTTAATGTTTCATGCTTACTGGATTAATTCTGTAAGTAAATATATAAAATTAATATCTGAGATCTTTTTAAAAGTACATTAAAGCGAATTACGAAGTATGAAAACTACAGAGAACATGTGTACGCGTCCATAAAAAGATTTACATTTTTGCTCGTTTACTTTATTGAGCAATAAAAAGGAAAAATACATGAAGACAGATTCGAAAACGAAGGCAAAAAGCGAATAGTACAAACTTCGCGACCACGCCTTACAAAAAGTATAATTGCCTGTGATAAATCGATCAATGATAAATTACTATTATTCAGTCATTTTATCACTCGTACAAATACTTTTTTGCCTTTTTACGCGTTATTATATTTTTAATAATGATGAATCGGATCGTCTGGACCACACTCGCGAATAAATCACCTTTCGACTTGCATCGCGTCGTGTCTGAAACACCGAGAAACACTGTGGAGAGTGATTCTCAATTAACCACGAAGATCTTCTTTTTATAAAGTTCTAATTAACCATAAAAATTATACTGGTGAATTTATTGTGGCGTAAATGCGCAACGAAGCACGCGAGTTCCTCTCTATACATAGAAATGCAAAAAACCAGCACGATTCTTCCTAGAGAACTTTTTCTCTTACCGGCGAAGAAAGTGGGTTATTTTTTTGCGACTATAAATAAGAGTGAATTAAGTCTTGTCGTTCTTGAAGCATAAGCTGTCGTTTCACGCCGTGCTTTTTTCAAGATTAACATTAGAAGCAAATAAAGTGTTTTTTTCTATCGATTGAAAACTAATCCGCGATAGCCGATTTTCCACCGATGTATCTAAACGCGGCGCGTTCGACTTACTTTTGTCATCAGAATGATTCGAAAGTTGGGATTATAAAAAGAGTGTTAGTACATTTCTTACTTTTGTATTTATACTCCCCCAGAGAGAGATGTTTTGACGCTTCTTCGGATTATCCTCTGAAACGGAAAAATAGATGCCTGATGAGAGATAAAAAATAATTATGCACGGAAAAAAACTCAGTTCTTGTAGCTGAATAGAGACCAAATGCAAATTCGGTGGCAAGAAATGAAAACTTAATGACAAGAAGTGATATCTCTGTTATCACAACTGAGAGCATTCGTATGGACACTCGGCTGCATTAAAACTTGGTCGAAACACCTGAGAGCAATTGACTTAGTAGAAATTCCAACAGGAATATTTCTGCAACCAAGTTTTCGTCTAATTCCCAGGGACGGAAATTCAATTATATCAGAGAATTATTATATGTTATTTTTTTGTTTCGCACCTTTTTCCTTCTGAAAGATTACAATCACAATTAAATTTATCCAGATTACTATTCCAGATAACGCTACTCAGTCTAGTATAAAAATCTAAAAATTCGACCCGGAGATGCCTACTCATATAGCATAAATTTCTAAAAGACGTGTGTCTGTAGGTTGTCTTATGGAAGTTTTGCTGACTGGGTATTACACAGAGCGGTAATTACACAAAGGCGAAAGCATTCATGATATGTTCGTATGCGTTTTTCAGGTTGTCATGTAGCGTCTGCTCGTCGGTGGGGCTCGCAGTAGTATTTTTTCTCGTGATGCTCTTCGCCCTGGGTATGAACGAGACTCTCAAGTATCGAGCAAAGTTCACTTTCTTCATATTGGCGAGCGCTGTAGCTGCGGGAATATGGATACCTTTAATGTTCTTTCGCATAAGAAGCTGGAAAAACGCGATGTGAGTTTCCACGAGAAAAACCGAATAATCGTCGTAAAAACTTATATAACGATAACGAACGATATAAAGAGTGTCTCAGAATGACCATATATGGAGTGCACTTGGAGATTCTTGATAATAAACGAAGCAACTTTTCGTTTATCAAAATTCTTTTTGAATGATCGTTCTTAAATGAGAGTTATTTAAAATTGTGAAATTAATATGCACCAAGTTGCATGCAAGTCAGAAATGATGGACGGCGCGGAATTACGAAATGTCACGTGAATCATGTAGGCTATTTTTTTCTATCTCATTAAAGGTTGCAACGACGCAACAATACATAATATCTGAATTTATCTCTACTTTGAACAAAATTTATTTATGCAAATTTAATTTAACTGACCTGACACTGTAATAATTTTAGACATCGAGTCACTTCTTCCGCTTTATTGTTTCACGTACGTATCGTGTCGAATCTCTTCTTTTCCGCCTGACGGGACGAAATTTTTCAGCTTGCCGGCCCGTGGAGTTGTGATAATAGCGAAGATGCTCGGAATCAACTACCATTTGCGAGGGAAAGAAAACACTGTCAAAGACACAGGCTGCGTCGTGCTTATCAATCATCAGAGCTCCTTGGACCTTTGCGGTAATTACAAGCAGTTTTCGTGATTGCACAGTATAACAGTTATAGGAAAAATAAGAACACTACGTAGATATCGTGCCGCTGTACGAGGGAATACGCGCGTTACACTGAAAGAAAAAAGTGTTACATTCAAGTAATATTCTGTGTTACATTCAAGTAATAATCTAATCCAAGTAAAATAATCATTCCAATATTCCTTAGCAAATATTTACTTGAATATAGTATTTTTTCTTTCAGTGCACAAATGTCATTTGTTCACATGTATGATGAAGTCAACGTTTGTTCTGTACAGTTTTAGGTGAACTATGGCTGTCGATGGACCATTGCTGCGTCATTTCCAAAAAAGAGATCCTCTACCTGGGACCGTTCGGTCTCGCGTGTTGGCTCTGGGGAACGGTGTTCATCGACCGAGGAAACGTCGAGGAGTCCCGTCAGATCATCAACGACACGGCAGAATCGATCCGCTTGGCGAAGGTAATTTCCATTAGGTTCTCCGCATTATTAAGGTAATTGGTCTGTAGAGTGACGGATTTTCAATAGCGATACTACGAAACTTCTGTATAAATTTATTATTGAAAAAAAATTTCCTTATAACTTTATTTAATTATCTAAATAATAAATTTTAAAGCTCTGCTATCTCTCAATAGTCATATTGGTTTATGATGTCATAAGCGAGAAATGATATAGTATGAAATGATAATAGTATAGTTGTAATCTTGAAACCTGTAATATATGTGGCAAACTGAGATGTCTGTCCGATATGTTACATGAAATCGCAAAGTAATTTCTGAAATATTGGGCCATTTTTCAACCATACTCAAGCGGCCGTGAGAGCTGAGATCGCTGAAAAATGACTCATTATTTCAAAAATTATTTTGCGTGACAAATATTAAAATGTATATATGTACATATATATCGCGGATATTACTATAAACGGTTTGATGGACCAACTACTTAACTTGACACGACCCGGCTATGTTTTGAAACGTAGAAGGACGCATTAACGGAACTGAATTTTCCAGCGGAGGCTCCTTTTGTTTCCCGAGGGACGTCGGCATTCGAATAGTACGCTGCTTCCCTTCAAGAAAGGCGCTTTCCATGTCGCGATAGAGTCGCAAATGCCGATTCAGCCCGTCGTCGTGTCAAAGTATTATTTTCTCAGTGATAAGCGCAAGCAATTTCATTCGGGTAAGTGGCTACTATCGTGTCGTGATTCTCGCGATGCATGCGAGCACTGAGTGCTTATCTGAGAGAGAGAGAGAGAGAGAGAGAAAGTGAGAAAGAGACGAACTTTGTATTTCAGGGAATAGTTACATTACGATTTTACCGCCCATCCCTACCGCGGGCATGACCAAAGACGATCTTCCAAAGCTGATGGAGCAGGCGCACGAGGTCATGAACAAAACCTTCGTGGAATCCACGCGCGAATGCTTCGCGGATCACATAGAATCTTTGAAGGAAGAGTGATGTGATGAAAGTATCGTGGAACGACTGGCGTGAGCGAGCGAACTTAGCGCGATCGGACGACGCATTCGCGATAGGCCGATTCACGCGAATGGTACCTGGGATAAATGTTTTATATCGCATTATCAAATGTTTCCGCGAGAACGGACACTTTGTGTGTGCTGTCTTTATTTTTTCTTACACAACGTGCATGTGTACCAAAGATACACAGATTTCAAATCGTTACTTGAAATCCTTGTTATCTCTCGATGAATCGATGATAATCACTTTCTTCGACGTTGTTCTACGACCGCGATTTAACCGAGGCGGCATAAGTGTCTGAAAGACATCTTTTAGAGACGTTTCTGAAACATTTGTGAGGTCTGGGGGTCTTAAGATATTTCACGTTATTCATCAGTGTTCTTCCATTATTCCGCGTAAGAGTTCTATCCTTGAGGAGCGAGAGGATTTACCGAAGCTCAAATGATATTTCACTAAGAATGCAATTTGTACTTTTTATATCTTTGCGGCAAGATGCGATTTGTTAACCGAGAGGTTTTGTCTCCACATTGTCGCGCAATATGCGGCGCTAATCTTTTATAATTTGTATACAGAAAGTGTCGATATCAAACGCAAAATTTTCCTATCCACGTATATCTCAATGGTGAGAAGAGTTGCATAATTCACTATTATTGTTATTATGTCTTCACGTATCACGTTACCATTAAGTGGTCGTCATCAACATCCGCAATTTATTTATCATCGATTACATTTCTTTTGTAACGAGACGAAGTAGATACAAGTGACGTCTGTTAAATATATTTTCCTATCGATATCGAATTTTTTATGTCTGCGTTGATATTTGTGTAATTTCGCATATCGAGGGTCGCGTTTTTAAGAAACAGCCCGCCGATGCGTCCGCAAATTTTCATACGATATATCCCAAGCAGCACGTTAACGTAAACGTTCGAGGAACGTTCGCTTTATGTTCACTTGGTTTGGTTATATTCAAACAAAGTGGGAACGTTCGAAGAACATACGTTTTAGAACCTTTAATATATATCTTACGTAGCAAAAGTATCGCAGTATCACAATTATTCTGTTCTGTTACATATTAATGTTGTTAATATATTAATATCTTTTAGCAATTAATATATTTGTAAATAATTTGTTATAAATAGACATAATCAAACTTCAATGATGTATATATTTTAATTAAAAAATGGAATTGTAACAGAGCAGCATAATTGATACTGCGACGCTTTCGCTACATATGATATATATTAAAGGTTCTAAAACGTATGTTCTTCGAACGTTCCCACTTTGTTTGAATATAACTAAACCAAGTGAACGTAAAGCGAACGTTCCTCGAACGTTTACGTGCTGCTTAGGATGCATTGCCTCGAGCATATGTTTTCCAAAATGTCGTATTACAATGTACAATTGATCATTCGTTCCAGATCAGCGATGTGAACAAATTGTATGCGCAATATATCATATATTTACAGACTTTTATGCATCTTCTTACCGATATTCTTTTTGCGTACATTAATAACATATCTATCAACGTCAAATAGTAAAAATCATGTTATACGAAACTAAAAAATGTGTGTTATCGCATAATTCTCTCCAAACCGCTGAGAACATGTTTTTGTTTAACAAATATCGACGAAGTCCGAATCGTTACAAAAATGTGATTCATATGTATATTATACATATGTTATATATGTCACGTGTATATTATATATTATATATTCAAGAATAATGTTACGACTATAATAAATTATATTTTACATAATGAACAGCGTTATTTATGTTTCTTGTATATTGCATCAACCAGTTTTCATATTATCAGAGAGAGAGAGAGAGAGAGAGAGAGAGAGAGAGAGAAAGGGGGACGGGAGAATTTCTCATATATAATTATATATAGAATGTCTATATATAACAATATATAATTATATATTCATATGAACATTTTTTTATATATATATAGATGTCACAGGGAAATGATGAAATTGGAGATTTGATCAAATCTCCATTTTTATCATCTCCTTGCGACATGGACATATTCTATACACCTGACACCTTATATGCTTATATATAATTATATCTATTATATATAATTAGATATAATTATATATAGAAAATTTTTGCCGAGACTGATTATAATTCGTCGAGATTCAACCGGAAAGAACTTGAAAACAGCGAAATATTCTAATACGGTAATATCATGCGGTGATATCCTCGACTTTTTCGAGACAATAGTAGAGCCTTCCTGACACACTATTCACGTCAAAATCCATCCTCCCGCGGAGGATGATATTCAGTGAGATGCGACATTAGAATCGCAAGATTTTCATGCTTCTCAGCGAGCAAACGGTCACAGTGATACGGACAGGACGTTCCCAGAGGAGCTACTCCATCGTGCCGATAATTGAAATGACCCATTTGGTTCGAAGATTTATTGGAATAAATATCACCATCCTCTTCCGTCCGAAATGCGAGCTGCCCGTTGTATCTCTCGGTTCGAGACCAAGCTTTATATCTAGATAAATCGCACGTCTCACGAATATTTCTTTTCCTAGGTATTTTTTTATCTTCGTCTTCGTTAACATTTTCCTCGTTCCTAACGTCTAAAACGCTTGGCAGATCGACACTCCGTAAGTATAAATGTTTCCTAGTCTGCGTATGCATGTTCATTTTCATCCGTCTCGCAATTATCACTTTGGAAAAGTTCATAAGCTCTGCCGTATCCGTCGCTCGATCACACGATCGCCAAGCCGAGCCGCTTCGCCAAAAGTCCGGGGTCGAATTTCTCGCGGACTCTCTACGAATGGCTCTCAAAATCGCCGACGAGCATTGAATCTGTTTATCGTTGCTTCTTATCGCTCGACAGTCGTGGATGAAGTCTTCCGTTCTAGGCCGATACTCTTGATGATTTCCTTCAAGATTCGCGCACATCGACAGTTTATTCTTAGCTCTGCAGAGACTAATTGTACTGTCATTTCTCTTCGCATTCGTCCCGCTCATGATGTGAGTCCTTCTTCGCCTCGAAGATGCGTCGATAACGTTCTCTTCCGGTTCGTCACGAACATGCACCTCAAGGTCCACCGAGAGCGAGGAGGTCGAAGACTCGTCCGCTCGAAACGCGTCGAGACAACTGTTACAGTCTTCTTGTATTGCGTCGATATTCACGAATTTGAGAAAATTATTTTTCCCGTCGAAGCTCGAACATTCGAACGTCAAATCGCCGATCTCATCGTCTATTCTCTTGTCCGGAGCGTTATTGTGTTCGCAGCACGGCAATTTATATAGCGCATAAGGGCACTGACTTCCGCATGAACATATCTTATACTTTTTTGACTTGTTCTTTAAGAACGCTCGCTTCGCACGACCTCTTAATAAATCGTCTGTGACCAAATTTGAATGAATGATAAGTCGATTACAATTCATTAGTGACAACGGATTGGCTTGCACGTTATTCTCTGTCATGTCCCGAGGTGACGAATCAGCAAACTTTTTGTCGTCCTCTCGACATGAGCACGTAGTGATATCCATTTGTGCAGAAACGTTTGACGTAAGTAAAGTATCCGTTGAATCATCGGGTCCTTCGTTGATGTCGATGCACTTGGATACGTCATTCTTATTTGCTCGATCAAAGTCGAAGAACTCCTGTTTTTTTTCCTTCCGCAAAAGGCGAATTTCTTGCTGCCGATTGGACGTAACGCATTTATTTTTACTGCTTCTTCGGGACAGTTGAGGCGCCGGAATACTTTGTATGATTTTAATGAGCTTATTCTTAAAGGACTTCAGGCCATCATAAATTGTTGATAAAATAATAATTGCCGGTGAAGACTTACGGGACAAAGGCTCTGTGTCTCTCTTTTCTTTGCATTGTATCAAGTCATTTGGAGAGACCCAATCAGGCTTAGTAACCTAATATATGTATCATAATATCATAAGACATGTGTCATTATAACAGTACATATATGTTATATAATTTTAATAATAATAATAGCATTAGTATTATATTTTTTTATTATATCATACGTTAGCATTTTTAACTTGAGATTTAAAAGAATAGACATTGCCAAATGATAAATTATAAATTTAATAAAAAATTATTTTACAAATTCATTAATAAGTATCACTAAATTTTGAAACTACCTGACTGTTTTCTGCAAGCTGGCGAATTTCCTCGGTTGTTGTTAAGTTTCTGACATTTCTCAAATATGTCTTCACATCGCTTAACATATACGACCTAACATGATCGACCTCACAGTTTACTTTTGAATATTCCAACAAGACGTCCTTGCACTTCGCATTGACGTGTACCTTCCTCAAATCGTTCACCTCTGTTCGAAGTTCGTCCACTATGTCCGAGAGTGCTTTCACTTGCTTAAATATGTGATCGAGTTTATCGTGATGGCAAATCTCTTCTGACATAACTTGAATCTTTCAGTCGGTATCGCGATATTCTGGGGATACAGCATGCAACGTCTCACTGTTATGCGATTGTCGCATAATAAGTCGCATGACAATTAATAATTTCCATCGCATCTTCGATATCAAACTATTTTAACGACATGGTTAAGTTAAGAGACTGTCACCTACCTCAGTTACTATAAATCGTTACTACCATGGTCAAATATATAAAAAAAAAGTTTTCTCGCATTAAAATATAATTTCCTTACAATCACATGAATAAAATCATATTCTTCCGTTTATACTAAGAATGATAAAATAACTTATTATCAGTAATGTAACGTAATGATAATACACGAATTCACGTATACGCATAATATAGGATATCAATGTAAGTAATGGCACTTTTTTTTTTACCAAAATCCAATCAGAAACAGTGCTACTCATTTCGTCAATAAATCGAACGAAGCTGCGTATTAAATATCATTTATTTGATTGATCGTATGTTCCTACGTACAATTCTCCTCGTCAGTCGGTGTCAAGTACCATAGCTAACTGGCTATTAGCGTATTAGTATAGTAAAGTTTGGTAATACAAAAGACTCCTCCTCTTCCATCTCATCTCTTTCTTAGCATGTACACGTATTCGCGCATAATACTATATTCGTAATATTTCGTATGTACAATTTTCGTTACTTCGTGTTTCTGTCGCGATTTTGACGCACGCGTTAGAGAGAGATTGATTATCGTTCCTCTGTTCGTGACGCACTATCGCCGCTGTCCTCGCGCGCGGGCTAGTAAACGCTAACGATGAAAAAATATATCTATATAAAAAGATACACATAAAAATCGCACGTGCCGCGCACGCAGCCCGGATAAACGAATTTCTGCACGATTGCTCGAAATAAATATGAATTCTTCTTCCCTTCCGTTATACATACCATCGATGGCTAAGCTGTCCACGCGATCTTCGTTGTCCGACGCGGCCGGTCAATCCGTGAAATGGCATCGTTATTGTACCAAAAAGAAGAAACGACTGGCTAGTGACAAGGATGTGCGCCGCGTCACCGCGATAACAACGTTAATCACAATGATGATTCGTATATTCCGCGTAATATCATGTACAATTTCGGCGTTCTGGAATGCTGATACCGTGTTCGATCGAACTTTCCCCTTCCCCTCCTTCGCTTCTCAAAACGAGATGCGACATAGCCCGGTATTCATAGTCCGATATATTTAAGATCGTCTTAAATTCATTTTTGAGAGATAATTCGGTACAGCATCTGAAGATAAACTTAAAACGATCTTAAATATAAAATCTGGCTATTAATACCGCTCTCAGTGTCCTTCCGTTCTAATTAGTTCTTCTACAATCGAGGTAATAGGGTTGCCCATTCTCATCATGTACGCTAAAGAAATTGTCCTTTCTACAATAGTTCCAGTTGCGAATCTTACGACGAGAAAAACGAGACAGCCTGAATATTCCAAACAGAAATCAAAACTGCGTTCAAAGTAATCGAGAGTCTCCTCAATTATTCGCGCTTGACAATTTCTTATAGTTAGTCTATTAATAACTATTACATTGAAATTAAATCAGGTTGACAGAAAACCTTTGTTGTTTTTTTATATCAAAGGAGTGTCAACATAGCTATTTTTCTGCCTATGTCGAATTTTTTTGGAAATTACGTTGGTCTGATAGTTTAAGTTCCGAGTACTTCGAAAAAATGATCTTTTCTCAACTACATGAGGTTTGGATGCTAAAAATGCACCCATAACATGTTACTCCGATCAGAAAATCTAAGAATTCATGATTTTCTTCAATCTAAAAATAAATTTGCCGTATGTTTAAGAAAAAAAAAAAAAAGCAATCAGGACATATTTGCATTATATAAAAATATAAAATGCATATTTTATATCGCTCATAGAAAATCTGCTTTTCAAATATTTATTTTGATCTTTCTCAAACAGCACAATGTCTAAAATCGGGACATAAAACGTTTTACGTCCCGATTTTAGACATTGTGCTGTCTGGATTTCTATATTGTTCCGCATTAACTCCAACTTGTTCTTTTTTCCACAGATTTAATTAAGATACTAATATATGAAGAGCCAATCTAACAGAGATTAACATACCTTTCAAAAGATTTAGTGCAGGCAGGAAGACAGCCTTATTAAAACCCCTCCTTTGGTTTTAAATAAACTTCTAGTTTCGTGAAGCTGTTTTTGTCTTCGGATAAAAGAATCTGATTTTTGAACAAAACAACGATCGTATGATTTCTTTCTGAAAGAATTGAAAAATTTCGTGAAGTTGCTTTTATGGCTGAGTAAAAGAATGAAAATTGCTTACAAACCGTGTTGACCATCTTTTGATTTTCTTTCGTGGATACGTTTTACAAAGCTCGTGTGTCAACCTAACGTATCAAAGTTGTACAACGAAGTCGAGCTATACAGGAATATTGTAGCCTCGACTTCTCGAAAGGCTGAATTGTTCGCGCGCGCTATCGTTCTACTACGCCCACCGACTCGTTCGATAATACTGATCAACGCAACGTTTAACAAGTCGTATAAATCACTAACAGCAGCTGAGCAAAATCAACGATAAATGTATATCCGGCTCGTCCGTCTCGTCATAAGATCTCGATCGGCGTCGCGAACGAAACGTTATTTCTTACAAAGACACTCGGCGCTTTCGTCGAGCCAGGTGTTAATACTTAGCAGCTACAACGTAATCTAACGCATCTAGCCGCATAAATAAGATAGAAGACGAAGTCTACATTATGTAAGAAAAAGAAGCAGTTGAGAAGGTGACTGATGGGATCCCTCGGCAGCCCCGTCACCACATGTGGTTCCGGGCGCCGTTTTCTCTTTTCCCTTCGTCGCGCACTCGTTTCTCTTGGTCCCTCCTTCTCTCCTTTCCTCCGCTATTCGCGTATAGCACAGCCTTCTTGCCTCGCCCGCTCTCCGCTGCTACGGTCCTCCTTCTTCCTCTCCTCGTGTGCGTTCGTCTCCGCCGGCGAGCTCGTCAACGAGTCGCGACGTCGACGCCGTTGAGATCAGAAGATAGTGACACGTCGGTCGGTCGGACGAAACGTTCATTTCGAAGAACAGAACTACTCGTCTTCAACGCCAGGGACGATTTTCCCCTCTCTATCTTTCTTTCCTGCTGGGCTTTCGCCCTGCTGAGCTTCCACTTTCTATCGTGGCCCGTTATCGGTCACGAGATCTCTCCCTGAGGTGTCGTCGTCGTCGGATGTACACACCTCTGGTGCGTCTTCCGCACGGGTTGTTGTCGTTGTTGTTGCGCCGCGCGCTCGGACTAGCTCAGTTTAGTCGGCCGGAGTACGGTCTGTCGGGAATTCGGGGAGGAATATTGGGTACAGGACGCCTACAACACAGACAGATATTATAGAGTGAGTGTCAATAATGTACATGTGTATGTATACACACGCGCGCGCGCTATACGCGATATTCAAAGCGGAAGCACGTCGCGGGGGGAGGGAAACGATCACCGAGAACGAAAAAGAACGTGGAATCGATACGCGAGACGTAGGGAGGCTTGAGAAATTCACGTCGAAATGTCCGGCTAAATTCGTCAGTTAAGTGTAATTACATATGGTCTGTTTTTTTAACTGAACTAGCTGTATTAGTTCAAGAAATGTACATACACATTCAAACATTTGAAGCGTACGTATTCTCACACTTCAGTGTGCGCAAATTTTTTGAACTAGTGTAACCAGTTCAGCTAAAAAGAACAAACCGACAGTCTCTCTGTTAACAATGGTCGTTTAATAATTCGATAATAATTACCCAGTATACATGAGCACACTAACTAACATTTCATCAATGTTATAATTTCCCACTCAACAATGTAAGTAAATTATATTTACATATGTGTATATAACATTTATATCGTTGATCGTTATATCGTTGAGTGAGATATGATAATATTGAAGTAATGTTACTGTTAACTGTACAGTTACGACTGTTGGTGAGCTCATCTAATTATATGTATGTATAATGCACACTGAGCGGCTATTGTTCTTTTAGTCGAACATCCAGATTTCATGGCGATAGCGTCACAAGCTGAGGTCTAACGGAAATGATATCACACTAACTGAAGATTGCATCTGCATTGTGAAACATGAGTGGCGAGGTGCTAATACTAGAGAATTAATAACATCATGAAATATTAGTGACACAAACGAATAATGATGGGTCTTAGAAAGAAATAGATTCGCACAGCATGCACAAGCCTTAGCGATAAATCGCAAGCAGAAATTAATTCAGCGAGAAGAAACAATCGCATTGGTTTCACCTTACACGAAGAATCGATTAACACAAATAAGAACGCATGACACGTCGTGCCCCGTATCTTACTAGTATCGGCACTACACTAAGGATGAATAAACAATTGAGATATAATTCATTTGCGCTTCTTTCTTCAAACCAGCATGTGATTTTCAGAGGTAATAAAGTTTTCTCGAAAATAGATGATCACATGTTCTACAACTATTCAGTAATACATGCTAATACGAGATCTTTAAATAAGAAGAAACAAAAATAACATTGTGACTCATAAGTCAAATTTAACTATAGTTTTAAGTTTTGGAAAAACACGTTTTCCCCATTTTCCGGTTTTTCATTTCTTATCAAAAAATTAATATGGCAGGTTTTTACAGAATATACGTGAATTTTTCTAACAGAACTTTTGTATCCTTGGAACAAAAATCACGGAAAAATGGGGAAAAACGGATTCTTCCCGAAATTTTAAAACTATATAAATTTAACTTTAAATCAGGCTTACAAGAACCAAATACTAGGTATAAGAGCGTGAACGAATTTAGAAGACATTCTCATTACAATATAATATATCTGAATAATATATCTGAAACCTGTACATACAGACGTCTTGGTCCTTCCTTTGGACCATTTTGCGATTTAACTGAAATTCCTTAATCAAAATTACAACTCATTTCATGAGAATTAATAAGAATCTCGTGGACGAACACACTCGTCACCACAGACAGCGAATAACACCTTGGAAAAATAATTTCGTACGAATTAGAAGAGAACGTATCGTAGGGTCGTACAAACGTGAGGTTCCAGAGCTACTAAAAGAAAGTACGCAGAACGCGAATACGCATCCCCGTGCACGGGGGGGATACATTCACGATGAGTTCCGGTGAGTTTCGTCGTGGTTCAGGTAAACGTAAAAAAAATGCACGTCTCTCCCTCCGTTTTCTCAACAAGGGAGAGGAAATATTGTTGAATTCGCGATAACCTCGACGGAAATGCGTTTTCGACCGTTCGTGAGAGCGGCAGTCTCCTTTTTCACGTAATCTTATTTTTCACTGACGTAGGGCGCGCATATGCATGCACGTATGTACGCATACGCGTACGGGTGTGTACGCATACGTATATACGTGTACTTCGCATACACGCATATAGATATATTATTCTATAACATATTATATTCCCTATATACACATTTATATTGCAGTAAAACAGTGTTGTGTACGCGCACACACAGCGCAATATTACAACGTGTCTCTTTGGGGTGTACCGCACAAGAACTTAGCCAAGTAACCCTCCAATGTGTGTTATAATAATAATTGTTCTCTTCTTCTTCATTTTTCTTTTTGTTAACAATATATCTCAAGGGGGAGGAGAAAATTCGCATTTCTGCCCAAAATGCAGTTACAGTTTGTTGGTCGGATTTACATGTTCGATCCGAATAAAAATGGTTATAAAAATCAATACATATATATATTATGGTATAAAAATTAACAAGGGCAATGTAATGTTGTTTCGTTAGTAATCGACGAGAACTATGCCGTCCTGATTATATTTGAAGAGTTAGAAGTACATAGTGATTTTGCTGTATGGGTTGCTCTCGCTTATCATCATGGCCGCGAAGTTTTGCTTATCGAAGGCTCTTTCTCTCTCTCTATTTCGTTAATTGGGGGTTACTTTGCCCGCGTACGACCGAAGGGTTCGGTACAGGGGAGAGTAGAGAGAAGATACGCGCCCATTCGATGTCATTTCTAATTATCATTTGTATATATACACATACATACACACACGCACGCACGCACGCACACATTGACGACAAGTTCGAGGAAATTTCATTCTGCGCGCGTGTATCCGTCGAATATCTCTTTTGTCATATCTTTCTATCTCTCAATATAAGCCTGATAACACGGAAAGTCATCAGAGCTTCGCCTGTACCGGGCCCTTCGAGATATCAAAACTATCCCGCCGTTAGCAAACCCGCGATTCACGCTTCGGCCGAAATATTTTACCGTCCCCGCTCTGCATCTGTTTTCTTTTCTTCTTTGTTCTTATATATTCCCTTTTGTAACATTATATACGCGCGGCGATCTTGAGATTCTCGACCGGCGGTGTACAATTAAATTACATTATTTAGTCGATGTTGGATTTACACTAGATAAGCATAGTGTAACTAGAGTGTGACACATAAGGCTTTTAGATGGAAGCATATATCTAATCCGCCGAGAGTAAAAGTGTGTATGTTGCATCGCGACGTATATATGTACGTATGTATTGTTGTAAGCAACTTTCCGTGAACACTGTGGAAATCACTTTCGCAATATTCACCAGCCCGGCGCAGTTGTTTGCGATTAACATCGGGCCTCGGCTATCTTTGCGAATCTCGTCATAAAGTAGCATAACGTAAAGAAGAAACTAGTACCTTTGAAAGTAAAATATGTATGTGTAACACATAGCTATATATAAACTACTCAGTTAAACATATATAAAATTACTTCTTAATCGGGATATAAATTCAGTATTCCGCCGAAAGAAATAACTCTTCGTTGTAAGATTCGACGTCGCTATTCCACCAAGCTATCGCACGGACAAAATTGTCATATATATATATAACATTGTAACTTATAATATTACAATTCAGCGCGAGAATCTCTCTCTTTTTCTCTCTACAGGTGCAATCACGGGCGTGACGTGATGAGACGAGCGAATCTCTTGTCGCTCTGATAACACATTTCGTGAGACACAAAGAATTTCATATACATTCATTTCGCACAGATATCGTCTCCATGAATTCAGCTAAAAACTCATCAACTCCCCTGCAAAAACACCGCGAAGTGTGTGACAGTATCGGAAGATAGAACATCCGTACGGAAGTAAATCGAAAGAGGTTCCAAGTGTCTCGATTAACAATATTCGGGTGCAACACACGTACGTATGATATGCTCGATCGAAGAGCTACGACAGCCTCGCGAGAGGACTCCTATTTATTCCTATTTTCTCATTGTTCTTCGTCTTAACAACACGATCTCGTGAGAGAGTGACGCTATTCCGTAAGAATGGAAAAACTCTAATCAGTGTGCAACACGATGCATCGCGCTAAACGAATCTACGAATATCTTCTTACAATACATAGCGGCATTCTTTTGTATAATAGTATTAATAATAATAATCATATTCCTTATCATGTGTTGTCTCATACATAATCACTTTTCCTGTTAGCTCGACGCGTCCAATTAATTCCGACTGCAGTGGTGAAGAATCAATAGCTCAATATGTATATATGCATGTTCGTATACAAGTTACACTGTACAATAACATTACAATAGGTATACCACTTGCGGAGTTGCACGCGGGATTCTTTTATAATCTGCATTCGCACCGATCTGCGCCGAATGTAACATGCAACATCGACATCAGTACTACGAAACTTGATGAGTCGTCTAACCGAACCACAAATTTGTATTCAATATTCTTGTCCAGCGGTGTACTCAAAACCAAATGCGGTTGATTACGACATGTTTCGAAGGTGGAGCGAGCGAATTTTGCGAGCTTTCGAGACGCGTTGACGAATGATCGAATTGTCGCAATACGAAGTCGCTGAAAATGAGCGTGGTCAAAGAAGCAAGTTTTTGGCATTGCAAAGAAGTTCGAAATGAGCTCAAGGAACGTTATTAGGCCTTCTTGATATCGACCTGAATGGAGAACGCGAGATCAACGTGCTAACATTCGCAGCATCTCCTGGTCCGCGTTATTGAAGTTCACGACGCACTCGAGTGGAAATTACTTAGAATATGAATAACGCAACGACCACGGGAGATACGAGTCTCCCCCCCGTCACCGGAGTTCTTCTAGTTTCGTCGTCTATTCAAGACATTCTTCGTTCTACTGTAACGAAAAATAATATTTTCTTTTTTGTAATTGCACTTCGATTACCGCCATTGAGTCACCCTATCTTGGGTCGTTGCGCGAACATATTCCAAATGAAAACGTAAATCTGTTCCACGTGCAATAGTAGTATCCACCTTCGCAGTGGGACTTTTCGAGCATCACACAAATAAAGATCACACACGGTGAGCTTGTAAAGCTCTCGTCGCGCTGTTCGATCCGATTTTCCGTCGGATGGCGGAACAACTGAAGATTTCGCATGCGAGTCACTGTACAGATCTCGAGGCACGTCGTATTGCGTCACAAGACACGCGAAAGAAGGATAATTACAAGGAAAGACTGCAATATATGTTTCTCCACCTCGTCTCTTACGTATATACATATATACGGTTGAGTCGCAAGCGTGATCAGAGGAGCTTCAGGGGAGAAGTAACTACAAGGTAATACAAAATGCACAACACATCGCTCCTGAACCTCGCCCGCCGAGCGGGATGTACGCACGCTCATTGTACAATGCGCGTGATGTTACGGTTCACTATATTACTCTCGATAGGGTACGGTTACCGCGTTACTCCGTTCACGACTATTCAGAGAGGAAACGTCGTATGTATGTGACTCCGGATTTTCATGCAAAATCCTCGAAGCATTCTACGCTATATCACATCCTATGTCTGAGCACATTTTTTTTTTCCTTTATATCTCGTAAGGGTTACGTATTCTTTATATTCTTACATAGTATCATAGGCGGTATGTGTGTATATATATGTATTATATATATAATATATTATATAATATAATATATTATATATAATATAATATTAATATAAATATTAATATTAATATAATATTATATTATATATAATATTATATAATATTATATATATATATTTTTTTTTCCTTTATAACAACTACAAGAGAAACAGTAATGTGTGAATGTTACAGGAAATAGAAAGAGGCAAAGAGAGAAATAAAGAGACTTTACGGTAATTCTTGTATGTAATGCTATAGCGCTTTCGGTCATCGAAGGAACTGTTTTGGAACAAGCTGGATATTACACATTCATAACTCGTTTTAGCTACCTTCCCAACAGCATGACATTTTCTCGTTTACCGTCAACTACGCGTGCGTTCGACGCCTTCCTTTCGATATCGCAATTCAATTATATATCGGATGCGGCTCTGACGCACGACCGCGTACCACAATGTCTATATATAATTTTGTGTGTTTGTGTGTGTGTGTGTGTGTGTGTGTGTGTGTGTGTGTGTGTGTGTGTGTGTGTGTGTGTGTGTGTGTGTAATGTGCGTTGTCGCACTCACGCTTTTCAACGATGGAATGTACTCTTCTATAATTAATGCGACGCTACTGTCGATCACATTATCGGGTTCTGGTAGACTTTCCAGGATAGATTCACTGGATGCAAATACATCGTTTCGAAGAAGATTCTAATCTCGCTTAGAATTTGCTCTAACAACACTACCTGCGATTTTTCACACCAGCGCGCGGTGTGAAAATAACAAATAAAAATGAGATTAACTGCGCTAATCTCTACGATTAGAATCCGGCTTTTTCTCTTTACACACATTTATAATATATATTTTTAATTCATAACTTCCTGACCCGTCGTACTTTAATTCCAGTTTTACGAAGCGGTTAAAGATCTTATTGCTCGATCTGCGATTTTGGAAAAGACCGTAATCAAGTTTCTCTGAGACCATCGAAAGTAATACGGAGTATTGCAAAGTGGGTATAGTGCTTATATATATATATATATATATATATACACAGGTTGCCGGAAACGACTTCTAGTGTCGTATATATATATGTATATATATATATATATACATATACATATAGATATACATATATGTATATATGTATGTATGTTGTATGTATATTTATATTCATTAGAGAGCTATAATACAGAGATATATATTCTTATAGGATTATTTTCTACGGCAAATATGCACGTTAAGTAAATATGTTATGTGCACACACGCGCGTACAGATCGAATCTCAAAAGGCATGGCCGTTAATTCAAATTCGTGAACATCATGCAAGAGAGAAAGAAAGACACAGGGAGAGAGACGAGAGAAACTTAGACAGAGAGAGGATCAAATTAGCGATTGTTGTTGTTGTTGCGGAGAGAGTTTCGTTAAAAGTAACGATCCGTCCGAAGTGAAAGGGACACCGAATTAGTTTCATTCTCAACCCTGAACAGTCTACCATCTACTTGGCGCAACTTACAAACAAATGCCCATATACATGTATATTATTATGTTGTTAAGGGTACAACTCGAAACTCAACGTGGGAATGTGTCTATTTACTTGATCTTGAACGCATCCATCAGCTCGTTCACGGCGGCTTGCGTCGCAGCCTGCGTCGCAGCTTGTGTCACCCTCTGTTGCAGACCACCCCCTCGACTAAACACACCACGGATAACCCAGCTTTGACTACAGATTTCTCACTTTTGCTGATGTTCTATTTTTACTTTATTATTATGCTTCTTTTTTTATCTCTTTCTGTTTTTTCTACTGAGAAACATACGTCATACACGTGATATACGTCATATACGTGAACTTTGCTTAATGCGCGTGCCGCGTGTACGAAGCGTGCACAATGTCTCACTATATGCATATATCCGAGACAAAGAAACGTTATATGAAGGTATATGACTCCTCGTAACAGTAGTTATAAAAATGTCTCGTAAATAACGCGATATTCGTCCGATATTTCGAATGAGCAACTCTTAAAAGTCTTCGTATTCTACTACAATAGCTTTATAAAGCTCCCGTTTACAAATACGTAACAATTAATATATATGCGGCTATTTTTGCGTTCTCTCTCTTCTTCATTTTTCATTTTATCGGTAAATCGTAATGCAGGCACCGACACATTTGTCCGTAAATAGTAATTGACAAGTTTCGAATTGGTGTTAACGCTTCATATAAAACATTTAGATGATAAGGAACGTGTAGCAAAAGTGCGATTGAGAAGCCTGGAACTTGCTCGCGTTAAATAGGATATACCTGATAAGTTTGAACGTTACGTGAAACACATGTGTGTATCGATGGTAAAGTACGGAATTGGGATAGACAAAGCGACAGACCTCGAAGAGACGCAACCGTTACACATATCTTCAAGTCGCATTTTATCGAAATGTCATGCTGTTAGTAAAGTGAATAAATGGTTATATCTCTATCTGCCGTGTAAGAACACAATGTTCCTTTATTTGATAATATTCTCAACGATATATACACATATGATGTACAGCTTCATCAAAGTAATTTACAATGAAACGAATGTGACTCTATGTATATATTTATATGTATATATCTCCATCTATGTATATATTTATATATTTATATCTCCATTTCTTTTGCTACGAACAAGAAAGTTGTACCTTTTGGAAATATTTAGTATTGCACAGGTTCCAAATACTATCATCGGTGCTAAGATATAGCTACAATTAGGGGGTGTGTCGATCTCTGCGCGAAGAGAAGATTAGTATTGTACATGTAGAATATATGCATATAACATACGACTAAAATTATTACACAGCTGACAGACGCCGTATAACGTTAAATAATACGGAAACAATACTGTATCGAGAAATATCACCACAGTTATACACCCTACCATCTCTTGAATTTCAATCGATCACTGAATCACCTAAGAAGTACATCGTTGTCGTGTCACGCAGGCGAAACGTACGAAAAAACGTAATTGGTTAAGTAACTTGGAAGCTCATTTAGGATCGACAACATAAGACTCAGTGCAAAACTAACTTGACAATTGGAACGACAATTTCCGTGTGATTTTCACATCCCTATACTTAACATTTCGTTATCTCTGTGTAAGTGTAATGCAGACAGACAATATGGTAACATATTTGGAAAACTGTGTTCTGTGTAAAATATACACCGACTATATGCAACGAACACGTATTGATTAGTAGCGAATAGGCGAGAGTTAGTGCGAAGACTTATTGTCGGCGCCTGCAATAGAAAGTGAAGTTAGCACCCAAGCCCCCAATCGTCACATAAGCTATTTTGTTCTCAGTACAGACGAACATTCGAGGAAGCTGTATTATTTCTTTCACATTCGCGTTTGCACGGAAAGTAGTTACACAGGTTGCCGGAAACGACTTCTAGTGTCGTTAGAACTTCGACCACGCGACCATCGCGGCATTATCGAGAGAATTGCAACTTGACGTGCGTATGACTCAGTGTTAGAGACTTGCGTTTGATGAGGACATAATGAAATCGTGACTCAAGTTTTAAAATCTCGTTTGCGATATTTCTAGTTGGAATTCGGTATCTATGTGCTCATTATATAAATAGCATTGTACTCACGATGGTATCATAGGTGGAGGTAGGCCTGGATTAGCTCGCGTTGGCTGTGGTCCACCAGGACCGGGTCTATTAGGGATGGCTGGCGCTGGCCGGCCACCTGCAGGTACTGGTGGTGGTGCTCGTGAGCTAGAAAGAGGTGGTGGCTGTGTCACTCCGCGTCTTGGACCACCAGGAGATGGTGGCGATAATCTAGAATGTAGAATGCGTCTTATCATCGACTCTTTTGCGCCACACGAGTACTACGAATCCGCCGTCTATCGAGACGAAAAATAAGTTACAAATAATATAAATCGAAAAGAGAAAGAGAAAGATCACATCTTCATCTTTGAACGCGTGTAAAGCAGTTCATCTTCTTTCACTGTTAACTGAATCAATAATCAACTTCGTGTGTGTAAGTGAAAACAAAATATCATTGAGCTCTCTAACAATATTAATCTAGCTTATACATAAGAAGCACAATTACGTAACAAAAGGAAAATCTATTGACGCAAAAAGCGTGCATAAACGTGAACGCCATATTCTTAATAATAATAATAATAATAATAATAATAATAATAATAAATCTCGAGATATAAAACCGTTAAAAAAATAAAGATAAATACATCATATATGTAAAAGATCTTACCCAAGACTGTTTCAACGGTGTTCAAATGTATGGCAAAGCAGACGGTACCAAATGTAAGGATGAGAAATTAGTAAAATGCGCGACAGATAATTCTAGGAATAACATAAAGGTTACCTTGGATTCTCGCCGGATGCTAGCCAGTCGTTCTTTACGGGCGGTGGTACCGGAGTTGAAACCGTAGCCATGGAGACGTCGCCGATAATACGAAGGGCTTCCTTGCACGCGTGATACATGCGCAACATTTCTTCTCGTTTCTGTGCTTCTTCAGGAGACTCTTCCATCATGGAAGCCTGTAAAACATTCCCGTACAATTTAGATATTTTTCTCTAGTAACAGAGTTAAAATAACTGGTTCAATTTTTATAAAAGTTCTCACAAAATTTTATAAAAATTAAAAAATTTTTTAACATTTCAAGACGTATATTAACTATATTGGCAAACTAATTTGAAACATTAGAAAACAAATTTTGTAGTTTAACTCCGAGAATCTTTAAGTTTCAAAATAGTTGAAGCTTAAACTGAACTTATCTCATTACAAAATTGCGAACACATGTTCCGGGCGAAGTAGTGAATTGAAGGGATGGGAAGGGTGAGGATACTTACGATTACAACGTCATTAAATATCTTCGGAATATTAATTTTATCTTCAACTGACTGGGAAATAATAGGATAGATTAATTTATTTGCTTGTATAACATGGTTTCGGGATTAAGATGTACAGGAAATATGGTAAAGCTCACCAAAGAGAAAAATATGTAACATTTTACCTGATCACCGCTTGCGTAAAGATGCGCCAACAATTCTCCATTAATAAAGTCCTTAGCGTTGTTAATAATAAGGTGCATGATTGTCTTTGGGACCAAGTCACGAGTAGTTTTCGTAACAATCTTCATATATGAATCCACTAAGTTCCTGATGGTTTCCACTTGACGTTCCAGCTGAGGATCCATTGACGACTGACCCTCTGTTCCACCCTGAAGGGACCAAAATAAGAATTAAAGAGATTTCACATCTTCTGCTAATGTTTTTAATTAAAATGGTCCTAAACGTCATGTCTAAAGGTACATGTAAAAAAATAAAAAATAACACTTGTAGTACCGCAAGACAGACTAAAGAGATTTAGCAATACATTCGAAATCGAATAATATGTATATATTATGTAATGTTGTTAGCATTTCTGCAGTAGTGTGATCGGTTGAGGTGTCCAATGCTCGTGTGAGTGTCATGTGCAACTCTTGAAAACACGATCGATACCAACCTCATATCCTTCCTTTTTAGTCGATTTAAATATGAGACAAAAAGAACACAGTTACTGTTATGCACTCAATATAAAAAGTTATTAGTTCTACTTTAGAAAGAGTTACATAAAGAAGATACATAAAAAAATCTACACACTATGCACAGGCGTTTCAAGAGAATAGCAATATTCACCAAGTTTTTTAATGTTGCTTTATGAAAGCATATAAATCCTCTGCGGAATTCAATGTTAATTCTACGCGCATATTCTGCTCTTGTATTTTGGCGAGAACAAAGTTTATGTTTAAACAATTTGCAACGATATCATTCTTTTGGTTAGTTTCTCTGAGAACGCAATTGTATCACGTCATCACACGGTTAACGAATCGAAAACAAAATTTCTCTTTATGCTGCCTTTACTAACTCACCCTCTGCTTATCCTAAAATAAATTAAAATAGGTTCTAATAAATACAATAAACCATTCTTGTAATACAAAGTTGATTACGTCGGTTATTTCATATTAGGAAAAAAAATCTAATAATGGTGAGTAAAAGATATTTACGATTAAACATCATCTATGATACAAATAAATCGATATAAAATAATTATCATACGGGGTGACATATAAAATTATTAAGTCGTATCAGAGCAATGCACTCACCTCTTCGCCGTTCGCTTGTTCTGTTGATTTTTCAGGATACACACCGGCCCTCAGGAACGAAGCCTTCCAAGAATCAACATCATCTTGAGTTTCACAACTGAGCTCCAGTTGTTTGTAATCCTTATAGACGTTTCTTCCCTCCGGATTGAATAACGCAAACAAATGACGCCGCGACATGAAACTTTGCTCTAGGTCACGCAACTTCAATCCGTCCAAAGGCAGCATGTACTTCTTTTCGCGTTCCTTCATACATAAAAATAGAATAGATTATATATTGTGGTCGAATATTAGTTCTGCCGCAACGTATGTAATAGCGTAACATCACTTTTAAGATATAACATATGATATAACACAGTTTGAAAAATGAGATAGACTATAATCGTGAGACACTTACTTCTTCATCCTTAAACCAAGAGATACTCTCCGACGTTAAGACGAACCAATAATCTCTCGATCCGCCCTTCATGATTCCGAGATTATGTATGCACATATAACCCTTGCGAATGACTTGATTGCCTAATGTGTGTCGACCAGCTTTAACGGCGTTTTCCGAGGATTGTTGTGCACTGTAACATAAATTACGATGTATAATGAAACGTCAAATAAACAAAGAGATCGTCGTGTACCCAACTGCGAGGGTTGTTGTCATCAAATCTTACATTAGTCATTTGTAATAAGTAATAAAAACAACAAAAAATAAAAAAGACCACTAGCAGGATAGGTATCCTAACATTCATTTCTTTATTATGTACATTTGTCGAGCAAAGAAAACGTTAACGTTTTTATTTATCTCGATAATTTACGTCAAAAATCTTCGTTTACACGAATACTGTTGAACTCTGTCTTTTACAGAGCGATAATGTAGACGTGAACAATATTTTGCGTCTTTATCTACAAATCAACATTACGTTTACATGACTATTTCAAAAAAATTCACTGCGTATGAAAATACCCCGTTATATCAAGTTCACTTAATTTTTAAAATATCGCGAAATTTATATATCGCCTCATGCATGTTACGTTTCATTCAGCTTCGGATGTTTCTAAGCAAATGTTTGCACAGCTACGTTACAACACATTAGCATATCACGAACATATACAGTGTGTCGCTACGTCACTTGGTCAACATTGCAATAAATTTCAATATTATGGTGCAAAAGGATCACATAAGCACATATTACATCCATCGCAAAACAGATTATAAGGTGATGAAACTAAGAGGCTTGATGCTGCATGAAATATAGTATTCAAGAGTCTCATGAATGATACAGATGACTTAACAATTATTTTCGTTCATAACAGTCCTAGTATGTAACAAGTTATATAAATGTTCTTTTTTTTCATTGTCGATTAGTTGTTGATTAACTATGCCAAAAATTGATATAGCAAACCATTCAAGTTGTGAAAAGAATATGAATAAAAAATAGATATCTTTCGCGCACCTATTTAAAAACCTTTCAAAAAATAGATAAACACAACGTCAAGCTTAAAAATACTGAAATCTGGTTTATAATTGTATGTTAATATATCAACTTAAGGTGGAAGCAAGGATATATTTAAAAAAAAGGATAAGCGTAAGAGAAAGAAAGAGCGTGAAAAAAATGGAAAGGGATAAAAAAAATGTAGTGTAAATCTTTGTTGGAATGTACTTTAATATTCTTACCTTGCATTATGGCTACTGGCTGCAGCGCTGCCGATATAATTAAATCATTTCTTTAATTGTGAAATTTGAAGAAGTTGATAATGAATAGAAATATAATGTCAGGACAACAAGCCCATGTTACACTGATTAGGGCAAGGCACACATAATCTCATATAGATAGGTTTAAGAAATTATCATAAATTATATACAATTTTACCTAATATTTGTTTAAATTTCCAAGATAACTAAATTTCTAAGATACGCTAACGGAATGTAAAAAGATAAATATTGGTAAAATGCGTATTTTCGTACAGAATTTGTATGCCTTATCCCTAACGACATTATCTATAGATCTGAGCAATTTTATGACGTTGTATTGTCAACATTACTATCGATTTTATGTAAAAGCCGATGGCCCCTTTATTTTTTTATATTTAACCAACAACTACATCTACATTTCAAATGGTTGTAAATGTATGCTGCATTTAGAAAGATACTTGATAATCTTACAGTTAATACTACGCGATTACATTCTTAGTTGTCAAATGAACGGAACAGTATGAAAGCTCGAGTTGTGTTAATTGCAGTTAAGTAATGAAAATGAGCTAAAGGTAAACATGTTATCAAGGTAAATGCCTAGGAGAGATCATATATAGCTTAATGTACTTACGTATGACTTTGGCACAGTGTCATACAAGTGTACATTAAATAGATAAGGTAACAGTATATCTACTGGAAAGTTATTGTTCATTAAATTCTAATGTAATTTTTAGATTTAAGGGTGAGCTAAGAATGTTTGTCAGAATGTGATCCAGAAAATTGCTATGTGAGCTGACTTTAGCAAGACATGCACCGACTGTGAAAGTATATGCGCTAATAACTCGAGTGGAAAGAAAAATATAGTGGCAAGCAAACAAATAATTTGACACAGCAATCACGTGTAATATGTCTTTCCGTTACGTCTCCAAAGAAAGTTGAATCCTGATCTATTGACTTAAAAATCTCCACTAATAAATTATCTTTATAATTATGTTCTAAATCACTTGAGTCCGCATTAACCTTTTCGCTATATTAAAATCTGGTCGAAAAACGATCATACGGTATAGAAGATCGTTTTTTATCAAGCAACTATAGATACTCTTAGTGCCTAAAGATAATTTCGTAACAGGTCTTAGTAGCGAAAAAATTAAACAAGTTCTATTACTTATTGTCTAATACGATATAAAAACCTAAAACTACTCCAATACACATGTTTTAAAATTATAAAGAGACTCTTACAGCGTAATATTGTTAAAAATAATTTTTATGTATATGAAAGAATATAATTTTCAAACTCTATCTATAAGAAATATAATCAAATATGTGACTGTGTTTATCAAAGAAAATATCTCCTTGTATCAAACAAGATTTAAAAACAATGTATCATAATGTGCGTAGAATATTATATATTTATATATAATGCATATGAAAAAGGTCATCTACGCCTGCACAAGTATGGTACTATTAGAAAATATAATGCGTAGAATATTATGTATTTATGTAAGAATCTTTTGTAAAACTTTTTAATGCAATACACGTGAAATTATATATTGCTAATGCCGTTTTAACTAAAGCAACGTTTTGAAACATACAAGTTTGCCTAAATACTCTAACAACATTACATAATGCCTCTTGCTATTCAGTGGCTATTGAAATTAACATAAAAAAAAAAATAGGAAAATACAGCGGCAAGCACAAATGTAACGAAAGGACATGTAGGACTAGATGTACCAACTTATCGAAACTGAATGTTTCGGACCGTATAATGTTTATTATTTCAAATAATAATTAAGTCTAAAGTAACATGTAGGAAAAAACAGTGAGAAACATTTAAGGATTACTTACTTCGCAAAACCGATAAAATCTTCGTGATTCGTGTTCATGTACGCGAGCTCGCAATCGACCAACAGGACCAGCTGCTCCTTGCACATCTGGTCACGCTGCCTGATGTGTGTAGTTATAATACGTTCTGTCTCTTCCCTTAGTCTAGGATAACGCGACATCTGTAATTTACACAAAAATTGGTGCGTGAGAATTATGTGAACGATGGCATTTAACGTTTAAGGGGATCCTGGAGGCGTTCTGTTTTATCGCAAATTTTGTAGTACCCATTACTGGCTGCATAGAATTAAAAATTCTTTTGCACAATTACAATACACACGTTAATATAAGCGAGGACGATTAACTTTATTCGAAAAATGAAAAAAAAAAAAAAATTACATACTTTTTTTCGCTTTTCGAACGAAGTCAATTGTCTTCGCCTACATTAACACATTGGGTGCGGACTCAATGTTTAGATCGAGCTGGGAGTTCTCTCTCTATAGCATGTTGTTTTAAAGTATATTTGAATTAATTAAAATAAAAAAAAATATGCCGTCAAGGGAGTCGAATTTTTATATATAGCATCCAACGTGTTAACGTGCAGAAGTATTTTTAATTCTGTATAACCAATAACGAGTATAGTACAAAGAAATTTGCGTTAAAACAGGACAACCCCGGGATCTCTTTAAATACAATTATAAAACTTATATTCACCCTATCTGTACAAATGCGTACAACATTACTAAGTTCTAGCACGACTAGGTCTACACACTTGAGACTTGGTTCTTTAAGTCTATTTATTTGTTTCTTGACTATTGCCTCAAAAGCCATGTCTGGAGTGAATAATCCTACCCTGATACCTGTCAAGTTGAGATTCGGTTAGTAACTTGATACCGCAAAATTTCAGTTTAATTATGCGATCTGCATTCTTGTATCAAATAATGAAGAAAGAAATCAAAAGAAACTCACCATGTATGTTTCTGATGGCGAATGCGATTTCTCTCCTGAGTTCCTTCTCATCAAATTCCATTTTCACAATTTCGAATGGGAAACGCTCGTGGAAGAGTCTGTTGATTTTAGCGCCGCCACTGAGTTCATTAGTGTTGATTTGTGCGGAACCTGAGCCTTCTATAGTTCTTTCGAAGTCTGACTGAAGCTGTTGTATCATCCTTAAAAATATTTTGCTATCAATTGGTGTAATATAACGTGTTACACAATAATATTAGTTACATGGGTAGAGAGTCTCGATGTTATCTACCATTCACAAAACTGAACCAATATCGGTTATTGAATTAATATTTGCAAATCTTACAATAATAGGAGTGTCATACATTATCCTTATAAATGCAATACCATGTCAGATAATAGTCCTAGTATTAAAACACAAAAAAGAGAAACCCCTGTTAGCAATTTCATTAGTTTTCTTGTAGCAGAATAGTTTTGTGAAATAATTTCTCCAAATAAAAATATATACGTAACGATCAATTTTTTATTTTGTTAAAATTTCATGCAAATGGCACACTACTAAAATTGTTAAAATGAAGAACTAAAAGAGGAAACAGGGATACCTACATATACATTTGAATTGATCTGGAAAATAAAAAAACAAATGTTCTAAAACCTCAAGACCCTCCACCCATGAAATAGAAAAAAATATAACAGAGATAAAGAAGTAAAAAGATTGTAAACTCATTTGCATGATTGTTATTTACAATGGAAATGTGAAACACAGAACACATTCATCAGAAGATTCCGTTGTTATATGAATACATATATATGTATATGTGTATGATATATTCTGCTATAAGATATGCATTTGTGATTCTCACGATACACAGTTTATGAATGGAAGACGAGCACTGAGATACATCGAAAATCGATCACTAGAACACGAGAGACGTTGAAACAATTCTTGATACACTTACTGTAACATGGCCTTTGTTTTGATTGCGGGGTCATCAGGTCTGAAATGTTTGTACTGTTCGACATCCTTTTCTAAAGCTAATTGTTGCTTTTGTAACTTATCTCTTAAAGCCGGCAAGGTATCCCTGATATGATTTGTTAACTGTTGATTGAGAATTCTCTGCAAATACGGTGTGCCCAACCTGTCTGCTAGGTGACGATAAGACGGATGGCTGGTAAAAGTAAAATAGAAGTTATGTATTGTTGAGGAAGCAAAAACGTATTTATTTCCCTATATGTGACAACGTCTAGAGTAGTTCATGTACCTGAGGAAGAACTTCCGTTCTGCTGCTAGAGCATTTTTTATATCCTTTCGGCCTTCTATATCTTTCTGACTTCTATTGACAACACCGATGTAACCTCTTCTCAATGGCAATAATTTATTTTCTAAGATATCTCTCGCGTCGGTGCCATCGTCCATGAGATCCAATTTAGTAATGACACCAATTGTACGTACACCTTGTACCAGTATCAAATGTCAAATTAACGTTTAAGTCGAAGGGATATTAACGTTAATACTTTCAACGATTATATATACCTTGCACGTCCACTTCCTTAGCGAGTTTAAGAGCATCGCTGTTAGCCAAATCTGTATTGGCTGGTGTGACAGCTAATATAAGACAATTCTCACGTTTTATAAACTGAAAAATCATGGTTTTAATTTGGGCTTCTATGTCTGGTGGTTGATCTCCGATTGGTACTTTCGTGAGTCCAGGTAAATCAATCAGTGTCAAATTCAGGACTGTGTAAAAATGAGAACATATACTTGATAAGTGAAAATCATCTTTTTTCTAATTTTATAAAGCTTTTATAAAGCTTCTTTGTATCATGCTTACCATTGGGTGAATATACTCTAAGATTGATCGGTATGTTAGAGATGCCTTTATTACTTCCAGTCACTCTGTCTGTTTCTGCCTCAATCTCTTTCCGCACCTCATCGAAATCAATAAATTTTTTCCCTTTGCAATGCAGAAACTCCGCATATTCTAAAACATAACAAAAAAAGAATATTTTAACTTAAGTTTCTAAAATAATTCCTATCCATAAAAATTTCTATTATATAATATTCTATTACATATCTTTATATAATATAATTTCTATATATATATATAATTTCTATAAAATATAATTACTATTATATATAAAATATAAAAAGAAGAAATATATATAATATCAAATGTGTATAAAATGCAGAAAGAGTGTAAAATTGCTCATGCATTTCATCATCTATTATATTCCTCTACTGTTAAAAGAAGATATATCAAATTTTTTGCTTATCATAATTTTAAGCTTAGGAAGTATGATACATGACAAATTCACGAATTTTAAGGTCAGGAAGTATGATATATGATAAGCATGATAACTTAATAACTGCAGTTCAGTATACTGAATATACTGTGACTTTTATTAAATCTATTTGAATGTAGTAATCAAATTAGAAATATCAATAATTGATTTATTAAACATAACAAATGTCGTGTGGAAAATAAACACGCACAATAGATGCCACAATAGATGCCACATAACAAATGTTTCCAACGAAGGTCAGGCAGAGAATGACATTATAAATAGAGTAAATGCATTATGCATTACCCTCGTTAAAAAGAAAATGTTTCTCATAACTATAGGTCAGTAGGTTAACAAGATGATATTGCAAGCATGTGGAGACTCAACATTCCTTAAATTGTTTTTAATACATAACTTTATAAAAGTGAAATATCAACATACTTTGTCACATATATGTATACTAATTGAATTTCAGTCATCAAGTAACACAAGTAAGTTATCAATAGAGACAGTAGAGAAAAGATGTTATAATCAGTCCTATTTATCATGACTCACCAGTTGTGCTGTTAATCAGCTGTAAGATAAGAGGTCTTCTTGTTACGATGCCTGAACCTCTGGGTAAGAAGTCTCTGAAAAAGAAACATACTTATTGTTATGATATACTGTAAAATTATATATTTTTTAAACAATCTTATACAATCAAATGCTTCTTGTACAATTATAAAATGCATATTATATATATATATATATATATATATATATATATATATATATGTGCAATGTGCTACTACAAAGCAATGACACATTGACTATTCATCTGAATCAGACAGGTAAAAACTATTTTGAAGTATTAAATCATGTTTAAATTCCCTAGTAAAGTGAGTCATCACTAAAGGTAAACATTTTTTGTCAAATTTCTTTCATTTCCAGCTTTTTCATATTAAAAAACTGGATTTGATAATATTATATTATTCTCTATAAAATCACATCACATCAATATATTATTGTGACACCATGGACATAACTTATATAATGTGGTATGACAAGTCTTACGTCATAAGAAATTTTAGAAACTATTATAAAATAATAATTATTAATATTATTATCTTGTAAAAACAGCTTTTACATAATATTACGGTGTTTTATTTAAAAATGTTAGACACAAAAAATAGTTAAAATCAAAAGTTAAATAATTCTCTTACTTAAAAATAATAATTTTGAAAATGCTTGACTTGAGATTTCATTGAAATATCTGTCAATTAGATTCGCTCCTATCACGGACGTTTCAGTCTCATAATTGATGTTCCAAATAATTGTCGAATTCTTTCGTCCAACCACGATGTCAGAATAACCAGTGAATGACGAAGCGTTCGCTCTACGAGACCGTAGAGGCGTCCCGCTGCCGTTTTGCGCATGAACGGACGCTTTTAAGTGTTCCCAGTAACGATGCCGAGGAGAAGACGTTTGACAGGTTGCCCCGTGGGCGTTATTCGCTCGCAGATTCCTTACTCCTGTTCGTTTCGTTTTGCGTTTCGCGGCGCGAATGACATAGTCGACAAAACCGCAGCTGTCAAACGATTCTCGACGACGACGACGTTAAGGTCAAGCTGAAAAACCGTGCGTGTTTCGCCACGCCTAGGCTTCCGTGTCGACGAAGACATCGTAGCGAGATCGAAATAAAGGTCCATCGCTCCCGGCCGCATTCTGTTACACCTTCGGCACGCAAATCAGCCAGTGGTGCGTCCGGAATTACGAGAGAGAAAAATTGTAGGATACCGAGAGCAGGAGAGCGCAGCTAAAAGGAATAGACCGACAATGAGGGAACCGGTCGATCGCGCTGATGTTAATCGATCGTGTATGATTAGATCCGCCTTTATCTACTTGATAAAGTTACCATTGGAGATAGGCGAGAGATAGATCAGCCTCGGACTTGAGACGCAATATTGCGCGAGGAGTCGATCGAAACTGTGTGACATCGCGATCGTGCCCTCCGAAGGGGTTGGGTACGTCGAGGAGAACTGAGTATACGTCTGAACGATGAAGTCGAGTACTTACTTGCCGACGAAGTTCTCGAGGACGGAGCTTTTGCCCGCACTCTGGCCGCCCACCACCGCGATCTGCGGCAGATCCAGCTGCATATGCACACCGAGCTGCGTGAACGCATCCTGCAGCTTGTTCACGATTGGGATTAACTGTTCCATACCCGAGTTGCCCGCCATCCCGCCGGATTGCCGCGATTACGCCGCTCGGAAATCGACACACGATCTCGCTCGTTTGCGCACTCTGTGTGTGTCTCTCTCTCTCTCTACTTCTTTTGCGCTCTTTCTCTTACGACTGATGCGTGTGTACGTGGTTCCGCTGTGGTTCGTGATTCACCAGCGGATTGCTGCTGCTACCTTGCCAATGCTCTGCCACCGCCCGCACATGCACGACCGCTAAAAGGGTGGCCGACGGAGGCGAGCCCGCCCGTTGCGGAGTCTAAGCACGCACTAAAGCAAGATGGCCGATTTCCTTCTGCAAAACGGACCGCTCGCTCGCTCGCGCGCGCACTGGCTGACGGCTGGTTCCCTGGCTGTTCCGCGGCTCACTTCACCGCATCTTCGTACCGCGGCGGTAGCAGCGGCGGCGAAACGACAATAATGTGAATTGCGCGATTTTACCGATCTCGCATCGGTCTCGCTCTCTCGCGTCGCGCGCGCGACGGCAGCGAACGACACGAAGTGCGAGTTTACGCGAGAACGGGACGCGCGCGCGATTTATGAGCCTCTCCCGTGGAAAAGGCGAGCCGTCGCGGCGGACACGCTCGCGTAAATAACGGTTCGAAGCGGTTACGCGACCAACGACGACAGACTCGCTTGTGCGAACAGAAAGAGAGAGAGAACCCGTAAAGCGGTTCAATCGATAATCGAAGCGTGCGCACAAGCACACCGCGGTCCGTCGCCGTCGTGACCCACTTTCAGCGGCTGCGAGATAAAATCCATATCGTTCGCGCGAGCGTCCGTCGACGCTCTGACCTTTTTACACCCGCGCGTCCCACGTATACATAGCGTTTCGCACGTACGTTCGTACGTTTGCGCGTGCGGGCCGTGCGACGGAAATTCGGCGAACGACGTTCCCTCCCGATATGACGGACGACAGTCGATACTCCATTCGATCGATGATGCAACTTCGAGTCTGTTCTCTTCGCTATATATCGCCTTTTTCTCGTTTCTCCTGTACTCTCTCTCTCTCTCTCTCTCCCTTTCTCTCTCTCTCTCTCGCTCTCCTCTCCTCTCCCTCAAAGTCAACGCTATACATCTTTGTTTCGTCCTGAATACAGCTGGGCGTATATTCGTTTGGTTTCGAGTGTAGAAAGTGTAACGCGGTGCGGCCGAGAGGAACTAAATTGTCAGCTTGTCGAAGTTACGCCATTCGCTCGCGAGCGCGCGCGATATTTTCAAAGTCGCATGGCAAAAATTCCCATCATCGCTGTGCGCGAAAGTGAAAACCAGATCAGTTTCCCCCTGTCGTTTTTCCCTCTTTTTACTGGCGAAGCAAAGAGAAAGAGATAAAGTGGAATCGTCCTCGGAAACGGTCGCATCGATCTCACACTTGACTATAGATTCGTTAGTTACAGATGCACTTTCTCATACCGCTTATATACAAAAGAGCTGCTCTTTTCAGCAGCACTTTCGACACTTTTAACTACATTTGTCGATCTTTCGTCTATCTCGTAAGCTCGAGATGTTTATTTCATTTTAAGTACGAAAAATATGAAAGATGTGCGGTTAAAACGAGCGAAAAAAATGTATATATTTCTCTTCTATACTAGAAACAGAATACCTATTTCGGAAATAAATATAGAATATTCGATTACGTCATGAACTTGATGCTGCGTCTTAATGTCGCCCGATTTTCAACGAGAAGATAATATCTCACGGAACACACACACACACACACAACATATATATATATATATATATATATATATATTCATCAGTATGTGATGCGCGTCATGTGGCGTGAGAATTATATCGGCCTACTTGACACCTCGTGGTCCTTAAATTCAGCCGATCGATTGGCGAATTTAGAAGCGGGTCCGTTTAAGAGAACCGCGACATTGGCTGTCGTTATTGATCATTGACCCGTAAAGCAATTGGCGTGGCATATATCGCGTATACATGTCGATCCTATAACTGAATTAAGTAATTAGTTGATATAATGACGGAACACGCAATTATAAACCATGTTTACCATTTTAATGCAAATGCGACATTCATTTATATCAATTTATACGATCCAGGACTATTTATAACTAACTATGACATGTGCCGCATGAAAATGATCGATTGTGCACACTTAACGCCGGATAAGCTCTGACGTAATTTATAGGCGTTTGTATACTCCCCCTTCTTTAATGGCTGTATACAAACGCATATAAATATAAGAGAAAAAGAGAAGGAGAGAGAAAGCGACAGAGAGAGGCAATACGCTTTTATCGTTCACTCGTGGATAAAAATTTGCAATTTAAAATTAAAATCATATCATCTATGTTTCACAGAGATATTTATGAAAATTTTATCAATTTTGTTCTCCTCCTCCTCTTTTTCTATTTTTAATGTTATTTTTCAGTTACTCCCCAGACAGCACAATGTCCAAAATCGGGACATAAGACGTCTTTTAGACGTTTTAAAAACATCTTAAAGATGTCTTATATCACCATATATTAAACACGACTTCAAAATATCTAAAAGACGTCATATGTCCTTTTTTTGGATATTTATGCTCTCTGGGTTTCTAATAGAATTGCATGATTTTACTGATGTAATGTATAAAAATCATGTTCAACATAAACGTAGAATGGAAAAATCGATTACATTTTGTGCGACGAGATTTTTTCATGTCCGATTATAGAGTACAAAATTAATTCAACTATTTTTGCAATACCCATTCAAGAGAACTCGTGGCCCAGAATCTTATATTGACTTCACAACGACTGTATGACCTATAAAACAGAACAATGGAGTCGGTGAGACTTGTGAATGTTTGTGAATGTGAAACGAAACACATAATCATTTTATCAAGCTCATCAAATTGGTCTTCATTGACTGATGCGTGTGTACTAAATCTAATTTCTTTAATTGTATGCTTTCTTGCGATTATTATATTTAAAATAAATGGAATGCGATGCACGAACACGTTCGTGCATCGAAACGACTCAGGTAGCACAGTTAGTTTCATATACGTTTTTAAACATATGTAATACGATTATGAAACGTTACATACGTTTAAAGAACATATACGAAACTAACACATACTACTTGGAGAAGAGAAAAAAAGCAAACTATAGAGAGAAGATAAATTTCTATTCGTAGGATTAACCATCATGAAAAGACTCACCTTCAAACAGAAATGTACTCGGTAACAACAACTTAAAAGTTTCAATTTAAATTATCAATTATATAAAAATCTGAAAAAGTTACGAAAAGTTCAGCTGGAATGTGCACAAAAATCTTCGGTCGCCTTTTCATATCGAAGCGACGGAACTTCGATGCGTATCCGCTCGAATGTTATCAACGGTACGAGCGCTCGCGTCTCTTCGCGAGATTCAGCTAGCTTCGGGCGCGTACGTACGGATGAGCGTAGCTATATGGGGGCGCGATCAGTATTTTCCTACTACGGTGCGAGTCCAAAATGTCAGACGTCGATAGATGGATAGATATCGCGAAAGAGTGCAAATACCTGCCCGAGAATGATCTCAAGGTAAATGAACGTACGCGGGATCGGCGTCCGCGTCGAGAACGAACGGTCCGCTTCGCGGGCGACAACGGCCGCGCGCGATCAGCGCCGATAGGTTATTTGTAACTCCAGCGCGTATTTTACCCTCCCCGTTAATCACGCCGTCATTTTCACGCTGTCGACAGAAACTCTGTGACATCGTATGTGACTTGTTGCTGGAGGAGTCCAACATCCAGCCTGTGTCCACCCCGGTGACGGTGTGTGGTGATATCCATGGACAGGTAAGTTCCGGATATGCTCCCTAACCTCCAAATCGGAGCATCGTCACTGGCCCCGAAGTCATGACAGAGTCGTCGTGAAGGCTTCGTGCGCTGCAAAATATCATCTTGTGTAGATGACCTTCCTTACAATGAAAGACAAAAGTCATCTGGAAAGTATTGAAAAGAGAGAACTAACTTTTAATCAAGTCTACATTCTTGCTAGTTTCACAATAGTCTGTACTTAGTTATTTCGACGAGGATGCGGATAGATACCATAGATTGCGTACATTTCCATGCTGTTGCAGTTTTATGATTTGGAGGAACTCTTCCGCAATGGTGGTCAAGTACCGGATACGAATTACATATTCCTAGGAGACTTTGTAGATCGGGGCTACTATAGTCTAGAGACATTCACTCGTCTGCTCACACTTAAAGCTAAATGGTCTGACAGGATAACACTACTTCGCGGTAATCACGAATCTAGACAAATCACACATGTTTATGGATTTTATGGTAAGCAAACAGCAGTATGTCTTTTGTTTTATGTTTGCATAGATATTTGCATTTGTTTCATTGAATTTTCTTACCTCCCATTACAGATGAATGCCAAAACAAATATGGTAATGCTAATGCATGGAAGTACTGTTGTAGGGTGTTTGATTTGCTCACAGTTGCTGCCGTGAGTATTTAGACTACATAAATTATCTTGGAAAAAACTAAGTAAAGTATATTTAAGTTGAGTATTTAACTGAAAAATTCTACATTATAACATTTAAATGAAATGTCCTCTGTCCTGTAGTTAATCGATGAACAGGTTCTTTGCGTACATGGTGGATTATCTCCAGCTATTAGAACACTAGATCAAATTAGAACGATTGAAAGGAATCAAGAGATTCCACACAAAGGTATGCTGATAACTATATTTGCGATATATTACCAAAACATCAATTACACAAAGTAATGCTTAACTGTATTAAATATTGCACAGCTTGTTTAAGTATTATCATAGAAGAAGATATATTTAATATTCCTCTTTAATTACTACAGGTGCTTTCTGTGATTTGGTCTGGTCTGATCCAGAAGATGTAGAAACATGGTCAGTGAGCCCGCGTGGTGCAGGTTGGCTATTTGGCAGTAAAGTGACTTACATGTTCATGGAAGTAAACGACCTTAAACTCATCTGTAGAGCACACCAATTAGTTCACGAAGGTATACTCATCAGAGTATTTTAGTATTATGTAAAGGTGTAACTTCTCTATGTTTTTTCTTATTGCAGCCATTTTTTCTCTGCCTGTTTTCTCTAGTTGTTGATTCTTTTTTTTTTTTTTCTTAATTTCCCTTTGCTATGCTACTCTGTTCAACCCTTCAAATATCTCGTAAACATATACACATACACACATGTGCTGACAAAATGCGTATTTCTTATCAGGTTATAGGTACATGTTTAACGACAAACTCGTCACAGTGTGGTCAGCCCCAAATTATTGTTATCGATGCGGTAACATAGCTAGTATCCTGCAGTTCACATCAGTGGATCAGAGAACACCCGTGCTGTTCCAGGCGGTGCCTGATTCTGAGAGAGTAATCCCACCGCTAACAACCACTCCATACTTTTTGTGATCTAACTTAGTGGCCCATCTGTACGGACGTGTGTGGGGGGGAAAGAAGTGTCTCTGTCTAGACTTTACGGAATCACATGACTCGGTTGACGGATCCAGGCTGGTACCATGACGGAACCTCAAATTTGTGAGAGTATATAATACATACACATGCAAACACAAGTACACATACACACAATACACGTATATATATATACATATATATATATTACTCTAGAATTTTAATTCCCTTTAAAAAAAAGAAACTTGTTTGGATGCGTTCTACGACCGAAATGCGAAATACTTAGAGGACTGAATTGTCGTGTGATTACTTGTTCAGGGAATGTTCTTTAGATTTTTTAAGAACTTTATCAAGTTTTATATGTTGTAAAGCTAACTTTTATATATATACATAGTATCTGCCATCGCATCAGCCTGATTTTTGTAGTTCGAAATGGAAAGATATTTTGCATCATGGAGCAAACGTGAACATTCTGTGGTCTAGACGCTTTTGCTGTCTACTGTGTACATTCTGTAGAGCATTCATATCTCAGAGCAGCATCATGGACTTTAGTGTTCAAAAGACTAAGAGCTTTTAAATAATTTATGAACGCAAATAACGAATAGTCCAATGCTGTGTGTGAACGATTAAATAAAAACAAAAAAGGAAGAAAAGCGAAAAAAAGATGTACCATATTCCAAACATTCCGGCAAAGTACACTCTCTGAGCACGGTGAATGCTTCTCTGATATTACAATCGTGCGTAGAATTCAGGTTTATTAAAAACGTGAGCATATATAGTACTGTTAAGGTCTTCCTGAACATGTAAATGATCTGTTTCCGGTTTAGGTACTGTGTGTGCTGCGTGCAGTTACTTTCTTCTTCTAGACGCGCAATCAGTGTTCTTAGCAGTGTAAATTCGGCTCTTTTTTCGCCGAAGTACAAATAGCATGTAGCGGTAGCCAAAGTTTTCCTGCCTAGGTAAGGAAATCCAATAGCGGGATTGTGTACCATCTCTGTAGAGGAGTTCTCTCGTTTGTTGTTATGCACATGACATTTTTTACGCTTAATTTTAAGAAATTCCGAGCTCAATAACGTCTCTCAAGTGTCTTGACACGCACGTTGCTTATTCTTTTCGAAACATTCGCCATTCGTTCGCCGCACTTCTCAATTCTACGTGTGTACAGAGCGATATTTTCGAACACTTACTATATTCTCCGAATCTTTGTACAGTTTCCGATATTGTATGCCAAATCGTTGTCGTACGGAATAATCGTAATTAGTTAATTGTCGTAAGTTCATTAACGTAGGGAGCAACTTGAAATGAAAAGAGGAAAAAAAAGAAGAAATAACCGAGACCCTTAGCAATGTGCCTCTAAATTAATAAGCGTTTCTGTAATATAATGATACGATATCGTTACATAATTAATGAAGTGCACCGGCCATTGCGTATCATAAGCCTGAATTCTGACCATCGATTTTTGCTAGCTCACGATAATTCCTAACCCGATCACAGACCCGACGAATACACGGCATTGGCATTGGCACTGGCTGTCAAGTGGAGACTACTCTATTTTGAATTTTGTGATATAGATCGAAGGAGGAGGCGTGTGTAATGGTCACGTCGATGTTTATAACGACACTCCATGTCGCGGACACTTTGGAAGAGGTCTCGGAGGACCCGGTTATCTCGAGAAATGTAATGGACTTTTGAACAGTGCCTTCAGAACTATAACACGACGGTCTACTAGGAAGTAAACGCTTTTCTTACTGACAGATAATCATAGACGAACTAACATAAGGACGAAGGATCATACAGGTACCAGAGCTTAAATGAGGACATGTGTACGGAGAAAAATTTTTATCACACCTATCCTCCCTTTCACTTTTATTCCATTTTGCGAACTGATCCGCCGTATTGTGCAAGGGACGTATCCTCGCTTCTCCACTCGCGAAACTTTTTCTACGGTACCACTTGTGTTTCACGAGATTTCTTACGATTATTCGTTTTACGTGCGCGTATTCTCATTACTTTTTATAAGAATGCCACGCGCGCCAATGTTTTATCTATTTGTACTACACATTTACTATTGTTACTTAATTATTGACACTTTACATGTTTACACCTGTAACGAGATATTGCATTAGATAGAGAGAGATTGTTGCACCGAGAACGAGACAAGGAGCTTGCGTTACAAACTCGACTCGCTACATTTGCAGCCTCCGAGTCGTGAAACGGAGATGACACGACGTGAATGACTCTACGCGCGATACGGGTATCCTAGAAATCCTAAAGTATTAGCCTCTGTATCTAAAGCTGGGGTGTTCGCGGCGGTGTTCGTCTCCGAAATGCCTCTGTCTGTGATCGCTTTAATCTTATCGAAGTGTCCAAGCGCTTGCGGCGACGCGATGTTTCAGGCTGCGCGGAATAATGCTCGATTGCAAAATCAATACGCGAGAACGGCTGGAATTAATCCTCTGAAATGAACGATCTTGAAAGCGGCACATGAATCGATTCAATCCTTTTAATCGTTATATTTTCGATTACTTAAACCGATCGATGTGCCATTTTTTAAATTAATTCCTCGAGCAAGACGCGGTGTCGGTCTTACGTATTGACTTTGGAATCGAACACCGTTCCGCGGAGTGTCACTCGATATTAATCATCAACAAGAGCTCGCGAAAGAAAAAAACAAAGGAAATACAACTTGCGATAGAGAAGAGGAAAAGCGAGACAAGTAACGAGACTAATTTAGCTTAATGCTCCGTGCGGGAGCTTGAACACTGCGCATAAATCCTTAAAGATCTCACAGGTAGAACATCATTTTGAACGATCATCATGTACCTTGAAAGTATAGACTTTGTTATGTTAATGTAATGAGAACGTCTGTAATAAAAATGCGCAAAAAATTGCACTCTACATTGTCAATGGATATACTCCCGATGTGCGTACGTGCGTGCGTGCGTACGTGCGTGTATAGCGTGTGCACAAGTGTGGCTGTTAATTGTGATAACGAGAACAGTACAAACCATTGCTAACAAATGAGATAAGGGAGGTATGTAGGAGAAGTTGCACGATAAGACGAATAAACAGCGCACAAGTTTTTTATTAATCTTTAATCAGTTTATTTACTTCGTAATAATATTATTTTCATCATCATCATCATATATATATCATATATATATATGTATATATATATATATATATATAATAATTCTATTTACTTCTTACTATTTATATATATATATATATATATAATATATATATTATATATATATAATTATATATATATAATAATATAGTGTATTTTATGTTCATTATGTATAATATATTATCTACATTTATAATCCCTATGAAAGGCATCTCCAAACAGACTTCAGATTTACTTTTTTTCTTCTTTAAATATCTTATTTATTCATAAAAATACAGGGGGGTTCACGCGCCGCGCGTGAAATTCGGCCTGTTTTGCCCGGAACCGGAGGCCCTCGATCCCAAATTGGTCAAATTTAATTGTGTGCGATGTGATTTGCTCTATAAAATGAAATTAATTTTTCTCACCTACAAACGCGTACCCTTATCCGTCTTTGATCTCGATCCTGCAAGTGACTGCGACTTTTTCATTTTTTTTAAATCATTACGCGACATTTCATTTAATTATGTAACTCGTATTACATCTCTGAATTTCGCTTGCGATTTTGTATAAAAATTAATTGCAACCTCAGAGCGAAATTCGAATAGTAACAAATGCAGTAACAAATGCGACGGGCGAGTTTCGTTGTTGGTGTGAAGCTTCTCATGTATCGAGGAAAATAACCGATTAAAGTGTCCTATTTAAACAATAAGTTTTTAGACTTAATTAAAAACCGCTCGTTTAAATCGAACATTCTGGAAATCGATTATTTCCCCTGCAGTCTCCTTTCTTATTAGTGTAGTCTAACGTAAGACTGTGTGCGGGTTCAAGCAAGACGCTGCGATCGTTTTCATTGGTCATTTTGAAATTGAAAATTTGAATTTAGACCAATCAGGTACAATGTGGTTCGATCATCAGCTCAGTCCTCGCCGGCTTAACAGATTGCTCTCTCGTATCGCGTATTCTACAGTGAAGGATCTACGAGCAAAACATTACAAAATATGCGCTCTCGAAGAAGTATGTGATGCTTCGCTGTGGGAGAAACCAGCGAAAGAACATAAGCACAAATACCAATAGCAACAGTAGTTTCAACGAAACAGAGGTATGGTAAATGCGTGAGTTACAGAATGTCCCACGTACGGCGTGAACATAGTCGCGTATCGAGCGGGCACATCGATCGACGCGCTCCTTCGTCCACCTTGCGAATAGAGGACTCGTGAAACGGTGAGCGCGAAAACGGTTACCGCGAGAAGTGATATCGTACGCGCGCCGGGCAGTGAGAGACACGCGATCGGGCAATTTATTCGGGCGACTAATACGCGCGATTCACTCGACGGATTCGCTGGAGGGATTCATCGCTGACGGGATCGACGGGACGACACTTCCGAGATTGCAAGTCGGGCGAACACTCGGTTCCCAGCAGAGCGGCAAGATTTCACGCGGCGCATCCGAAATCTCAGTTACAAAAGGAATATAATCGAAGGTAAACGAGATAATAAAAACGTACTCTCTAAACGTAGGTAGAAATTGGTAACTTTTGACTCACTCATTGAAAAAGTATCTTTCTCTCTCTTTCTCTCCCTCTTTCACACACACACACACACACACACACACACACACACACGCGCGCGCGCGCGCGTATACGCACTCGCTCTCATATTTTCATTTTTTCTTCCTCTCTCTCTCTCTCTCACTTACTTTTTCTCTAACCAATCCGGCGCTTTCTTACTTCTTTCCTCGTTCCGGCCGCGTCGTTTTTGGGTTAAACGTTTGTATATTTCGCGCGCTTCTTTAGATACAGCAACAGCAAGAAACGTCCACCATTATCTCCATTTCGAAGCGAAATTTTCAATCGAAAGGAAGCTAAAGAAAATGACGCACCGCATCTGCGTTTCTCGCGCAAAATTCACGAGAAATTATCGTCAATCGAGGAAAATTACGCTCCCCGATAAATATATAAGTAAAATAAAGTAACATTTATGCAAGTCGCGTGAAAACCTGAGCGCTAGCAAATTAATGAAATGTAACAAGGTACTAGGGTATATGTCTGATAATATTAAAAGTAATGATAATGAAATCGAATATTTGAGAAATAGAAAAAGAAAAATTATTTTATCGAGAAAAAATTTGTTCTAAAATCCTTTTCTCCTCAAAATTAGAAACACATTGATATACTATTTTACATTGTACTAATATGTACATATATAATACCGTCTTAAAAATAAATAAATGTAACGCCCTTGCAACAAGTCACACATTCATAACGTTAAGCAATTCAAATCAAAGATATTTGTTGCAAAGATGATGAGAAAATACATCTGTTATTTAAGACTGACATTATATATATGCGTTCTGTATCGCGCGTGCGTCAACAAGTGCGACATAATGAAAAAAAAAGGAATCCCAAAGAATTGCATTTCTACACATTCGTTAGCTTCCCTGCGATTTTCTATCAAATGGCTGTGCCACGGCCTACATACGTAAGAGCGGGTATTTAACACGGAATTATACAAAGACAGGAGACTAGTATACTTTCTCTCTTTCTGCAACATAGAGTTATTATTGAAAATCTTTCCTACAATATATACAAAGTTGAACCCACAAACGAGAGGCGCGGGATGGTCTCTGCGTTTTTTCTTCTTCGTCTTCCTTTTTATGTTTTTTTCTCTTTTTCATTAAATTTTTTCCCCTTTCTTCCTTTTACTCGATAGACTCTCACTCGCACTTAAATATTAAAGGTTGGGCATGATAATACTCTTTGTAGTATATATAATGCCCTAAGTCTTGCTGATCCAACGCTTTAGCCCTCCCGTAAGCAGCTGCTGTACTCCCAGACATCGATGCACATTTTTTTCTTTTATAAAATATATAGGTTTCCGGAATGACAGCCCTTCTCTTCATTTTTTACAATCTTTTGAGCAATTTAATTTTTTCAAACGAATATACATGTAATCTTCCATTATTATAAATATATAGACATTTCTACACAACTATTTTTAATTTTAAGTATTTCAACAACTGTTAACTATAATTAAATTAATTGTAATTAATAAATGGACAAAATAATTTTTTAAATTGAAATACATGAATGAGTGTTCCGTTTGAAACCGTTATTCGGGCAAAATGTATCTGCAACTAAACATTAAAATTCGTGTTATTTTTATCATCTTAAAAGTCTAAATTACCAAAGTTTATTAACGTTCATTCGTCACAAAAAAAAATGATTAAAAACAAATATAAAAATATTTTCGAGATGTCTTGATATTTCTCTCAAGAATTAACTCAGCGCATTGCTCGAAAGATCTCGTAATGAAGGGACTATAATCCTGGGAAATCCTTGTGAAATATATCTATGTATATGTGTATATAT